TTCTTCAATATATGAAGAAAACCCATTGTCTGTGGATAATATTTAATGTTCACTACATATTATCACTCGATCACTGAAAGAAATCGTGGTACTGCGTGGGTGCAACTGAGATTTATAGAGAGCATCCAAGGCAGATTTAACACGCGCTGCCCACCTAATAAAGACGACATAGCGCAACGCATAATCCAATGGCGGCGTCGCAAATGGCGGTATAATACGTACCTCACGGCTTGCGACTGACCACCGCACGTTATCAACCTGTGGATACGTCACATTTATGCGAGTCCGGTCTTCGCGCACAATGCTCCGAACTCCGAAGTAAATACACCGGCTTCAGGTCACCCAGAATCGATTTTTGCGCAGAGCTTCGGGAGCACCGTGGTTCATGCGGAACATCGACTTGCGTGTAGATTTAGAGCGGCAACCGTCGCTCAATCCCTGAAGTCGGCGTCGCGCCGCGCGCTGCTTCCAGTCCGCCGCCACGCATCCCAATCCGCTAGTCGTAGGTGCTGTCATCTACAGACCTATACCGCTAGGTACATTCCGCCGCAAATGGCATAGACCACGACACGTCTTCAATTTCCCTAACGATGAGAAGACTATCGCCAAAAATATAAAAATAAACCTGAATCTAATAAAAACTTGACAGACAACTTCAAAAAGAGGCATGACAAGCCATCTTAGTATATTATTTACTATGGTATAATGTACTCATGTAAAAGTTTTTTTAATTAAAAAGACATGAGACTGTATATTTAATAAAGTGTTGTATTGATTTTCAAATATTTTTTTTTTGCTTATTCTCATGGAGTAAAAAAAAGAAAATTCATTATACCGAAATAAAAAAAATTAATTAAATGTTGACATATTTGCGAACATCTTTAAATAGTGTAGGGCATGCAGGATGCGGGAGCTTCTGCTGTTGTACGAATAGGCAAACTTATCCTTCCCAAATATTGTAAACGCAACTGTTAACCGTTCCACTGATTCTGTGGATGCTGATGGGCCACGTTGATAATAAGTTCAGGTGTAACACTTGTTCGTTTTTAAACTTGTCCCATAAAAAACATGTTGAGGCCAACAGTAACTTAGCTAGCAGTAAAAGTTATAACAATCGCTTGGTACTTTTAAAATGGCCGGCATGTCCACCATATGCTTTCCCGTCGAGTTTCGCTGACCAACAAAAACATAACATGGACGTTCCGCAGTCGCTTTGTCGTACTTTTGCCGCTGCTGGTACTGAGTTTGATCGAGGGCCGCTTTTTAAGTCCACCCGGGAGAGGGTTGAAGCCTCTATTGGGAGGGGATCGGATCACAAATTCTATACATTCAATTTATTGCCTCCGTAATCTTTTCCCGCCACATTCGAGTTGTCGTGGACGAAATTATCATAATGTTTTTTTTTTTTTTTTTTTTTTTTTTTTTTATGTGAAAAGTTGCCAAACGAGCAGACGGTTCACCTGATGGTAAGTGAATACCGCCGCCCATGGACATCTGCTACACCCGAGGGTTACAGATGCGTTGACAACCTTTTGAAAATTGGGCTCCGGCTACCTCACTCACCAGACGAAACGCGAAAGTATTTGTCATACTTCCACTTTACGCTGGTCTTCTGTGAGGTCGTGGTACTTACCCGGACGGGCCTGCCCATTCGTGCAACAGCCGAGGCTGTTGCTAGGCCCTACCACCGTTAAATGTTAATTATCATAATGTTACAAAGATCCTTAAATAACGTCTTACTTTAAGATAAACCATTTTGAAAAACATTAATATGTTTAAATCAAATGTATGTATGTATGAATTTACTACAATATTAATAAATCATAAATTATTAGGTAAAAACTCTTAGGTATTTTCTACCGTCCCAACCCAGCTACCACAATCTGCAATCGTTTTAGAGCATGATAAAGTAGCAATCGATGAAAATTAAGAAAATCCATGAAACAATCCCATAAAATTCCGTAATAACATATTGAATATATTCGACTCATCTAATTACTAAATCCAAATAAAAAGTTGGCTATCCAAAATTACTAACTATTAATTCGTTACACAGCATTATTACAATTTTATTAGCTTTATGATGTGATAAAATTGAATACATCGTTGATGAAGTTTTTGACTACTTGCGCCATCTAATGGAGAATAGAAAACTAATTAAAAATAAATGAAAATGGATTCACATTAAATCGACTACTGACTACAAGATGGCACTGAAAACATACAGTTTCATTAAATTAAATTATCTAAGTCCATATCAAAATTATTATAATAAAATGGAAGATACAACAAAAACCTTCGTTTTTTCATTCTGATAGAACAGCTTTCTGGATGACAAGCAACGGATGTTACTTTGATGGTATTGTAAATAAATAAATAAATAAATTTATTTCCATAATCTTTTATACAATTTGTTGCCGAGTTTTCCCAGTAAGTTGGCATAGACACTTGTAGTGGGAATAACCCACTACTTCCCTTATGGATTACTAAGACTATAAATTAACTTAAATACTATTTAAAAAATAACTTATAAAATCAATCATTGTAATGTATACATTCTCCACTAGATGGGAGTATCATTAATTATTTTGAAGGAGTTATTGATTTACAACAGGCTTGATACTCTACTTTTACTATTATTAAAAGTTGTTAGCAATATCCGTCATATTTTACCATTTCTGGTGTACTTATTTTCAATCGTAAAACACATTGTAATTTAATGCTATATGTATAAAAAAGTTTTAATCTCGACTTTACCATCCGACTGTATCATCTTTATTTCAATACGACATGTCAGTTAGCAAATCGTTCATTAATCAATAATAAGTTCGTAATATTAGCTCATTATATAAATACTTTTTAATTTTGTGTTTACTATTTATAGACAATCTATATAACGGTAATACGAGGAATTTACAACCTCAGATTGGTAACTCTGGCATGGATATTACCTCGAAGCATAATTAGAATACCTACACGTAATTAAGCAACATAAATGAAAGCTTCACCAAACTATTTAACATACAAATTAGACGATACAATAGAATGACTCTCATTCTTTGTACATATTTCTTTAATTATCGACACCCTTCTTCTTCTATCCAAGGGAAATTCCTGTCACGGGAGGTTTAATAAACACGAGGACGCAAGTATACCAAGTGTCACTAGTACGAGTTCTCGCCAATACAAAATCCTTCGTACTGAGGCCGTAACACCGAATCTCAATCACCGAATGAAATTTGAAAGCATAAACAATCTTATTTTGAGACGGCTTCGTGAGCGCCCGTGGAGATTTCCGAACTGATCAGTTCACGCCGAGTACCTGTACTGCAATGGAAGATGATGACAAGTATTCCATAAATGAGTTTAACTTTTATACGGCCGGATTGTTTATACTTTATGCCATCGAATCATTTAGCGCAATTAGTGTCAACAACCTCCTTTCTTTGCTTCTTCCGCTTGAATTTTATTTATTTATTTATTTTATTTATGGGCGACGCAATTTTGGGGATTTATGATTTATGCAATGTTGTGATAGTGTATGAATATTGTGTTAGACCAACATTTGAAACCAATACCTACCTTGCACTCTATTCAGCCGAACTGAATCAAAAGTCGATGTCCGTTAAAAAGTCATCGAGTCTAAATCAATGTTTAACATGCTGGACAGCTTTAATTGGGCATGTATAATGCAAGTCTTGTCTGTTGCAAGAATGGGCATGTCCGTCCGAGGAGTACTACGACCTCACAGAAAACCGGCGTGAAGTGTAGGTGTTACACTTCTGCGTTTCATTTGGCGAGTGAAGAATTTTATTAAAATATATCAGATGATTTTTGTTGGTATTAACATCAATTAAAAAAAAATCGAATATCCGACGTAAAAACGAAAACGAGTTACGATATGTTCGCATAAGAGTTGCTTATGAAATGAGCTGGACGGATTCAATAAGGCCAAAGATGCGCATATTCGCCAATATGAGCGTATAAGGGAGCGTTCAACGCAGTCCATCCGGTGCGTGGTCTCTTTATCAATTCGAAAACAGTGGCTTTGTGTTGAAACGTGAGCGGGGCCGGCTAAGTTTACAAACACGCGCCGTTCGACGCGAAGGAGGCGAAAACCGCGACAGTTCGTCCGCCGACGCCCACACGGAACTATCGCTGAGGACTGTTATAGGTACGGCTTGAGCTTCTACTAAGGCCTACTAAGGCCCCGAACGATTAACTGCACCACGGTTACATTGAATATGGAGGGAATTTAGACTTGTAGGTAATATTTATTGAATCGAACATTATTTGCAATATTATCCAAAATCAATAAGTATCTAACAAAACTACTCCATTGGAGTGATAAAGTAATCGGCCCTTTGGTCCTTTGAATTTAAATCAAATTGTAACCAAATAAAATCCTTTTAAGTGTTGTCACTAAACGAAACTTATTTCGTTTAGAGGAAATATATTACTTTCCAGTGATATATTAAATTTTCTATATTTGCCTATTTTAATAGATCTTTTTTTTTTAAATTGTTTTACAACTATTTGTAAGCAATTAAAAGAATCAATTAGAATATATTACAGTGGTTTTAACTTCTAAACTGATCCCTAAAAGTAAAAGCGTTAATTTACATAATGTAAATCTATAATTTACTCTAATCAATACACAAAATAATAACAGCTACGCTAAAAATCTATGATAATTTTTTTTAAGCAGCGAATTTTGTCGTGTTTAATAATTCTGGACTTTAAATATTTATCCAATTGTAGCGCCTAATGCAGCAAATCCTACTTTTGGTGGATTTAAGAAACATTGCGTCATTTAATAAATGTAAAAATGCGACGCGACCGACGACCTATCGAATTGAGGACTCAATAAATTTAAAAAACGGGTAGCATTAGTAGCATATCTCCGCCTATTCCATTACTGTTGAGACGAGAGGTATCTTTTTCGTCTGAAAGAAGTTCGCAACTTTTCTTCTTGCAGATAGTGTGCGTAGAAAGCCGAGATGAGGGCAGGCGGGGCAATGGCGATGGCGACACTGGTGTGCGTGGCGCTCACCGCTCGCGCCAAGATCATGAGAAACAACGCGCTGATGAACCGAATGATGTCGCAGTTCCAGAAGGACAACAGCATCAACCTCTCCGTGGAGCCCACGGCCAATCCCCCCCAACAGTCGGACGTCATGTCACTCATGCAGGGCGTGCTGTGCAGGAACTTCCCCACGATCCCGTGTGCGGTGATCATGCAGGACGACACGCTCAGCCGTCTCATCAAGAAGTCCATCCAGGAGATAAACAACAAGAAGCGGTCGTTGGAGAGGACGACGCAGGCGGTCGACTACAAAACCAAATACCCGATCGTGAACAGCGAGGACCTGTCCAATTTCCTCCAGGTGCAGAACACGGGCTACTTCGAAGACAGAGGGGAGAAGTACGGCAAAAAGAAACAGAAGACGGCGAAAACGGACCGGGTGGGTTGGTCGCACGAGAGCCTGATGAGCACGAAGAAGCAGAACTCGAAACGGACCTCGATGTACGGAAGGAAGAAGCTCAGGAAGTTCTACCCGCATAAGGTTAAGTACAAAGACAAGAACTTGAGAGAGGCAAAGCCGGAGTTCAGGGATTACTCTGATGAGAAACTGTCCATGTCGGTGGAGCTCCCAGACATGATGATGACGAAGCAGCACCAGCACTTCTCGTACAAGCTGGAGCCCGCCGACCCGGCCGTGTGGCGGATTGACTACGCCAAGCACGGGGAGCCGAGCATGAACCTTTTAGGCTCCCTCACGAAGTCTGGGGCCAAGGCGTTCATGGACGACAACGAGTTGGAGCCATCGCCCAGGAAGGACGTCTTGCACCCAGACGTGTACATCAAGAAGAACTACGTCAGACGGAACTCTGAGCTGATAGACTGATCACAACACGATGATTTTCATCAATTATTAAATCTATTGTAATTGTTCTTATACATTTCTTAATGACCGTGTCCACTTTCTCTCTCTAAATGTTACCAATTTAGCTTCTTAAAAGAAGTTTGTAAAAGAGACAAATTTATACCAATTTCCTATTAACGGATTCCAGGGCCGGATTTAGAGGTCTGGAGGCCTCGGGGCAACAAAGGAGTGGAGGCCCCTTGTCCCCAAATTATTTTTCATTTATTCCTGGTAGTATTTAATGTAATCATGTTTGTACAAAGTACTGTAGGTAAAGGTAAAAAACGAAAAAAAAATGAAAGGAAAAGTTGTTTAATAGTGTTTACTAGTCTGAATTCGAAATTTTTTTTCCGAAGTCTCTATTGTGGGGGCCACTCTTTTGTGGAGTCCCCGGGGCTGTAGCCCCCGTTGCCCTCCCCTAAATCCGGCCCTGACAATATACCACACTGAAGCCGATTTTGAGTGCAGCTAATGAATACATACTTTCTGTTTTAGTTGTAGTGTATTCTTGAATTTAGAGATCCGTTGCTTAATACGTTTATCTTTACCGTCTTAGAACATTTAAATCGGTATCAGCAGCAGTATGCAATCATTTGTAGAATACGAATGTTTGCTTACTGCAGCTATTATTACATAGGAAGTGAAACGAGTACATTTCCTTCGCCATGTTTCTTCACGTCCATGCGTTGGTGAATAAAGCCATAAGACGTAAGTAATACGTGTAATTTTTATATTTATTAGGATTTCCAAAATAAAGATTGAGCATTAGCAAATTATGAAATTCTGTAATTACGTTCTCAATCACAATTATTACATACATGTAGAATCTATATTACTGCACAAAAAACCAGAAAGTACGTGATAGACACTGTGTATATTTTGGTAAACTTTTTGCGTTAACGTTAACATTTTTTTTTTCGTATAAATTTTAAAAAGTTATTTCAAACGCTACAGCATGCATGGTCACGGCCAACGCGACTTCCTAAATTCTGTGGTGTTCGAAACGTTTTTTTTGAAAACAACGAACCATATATCAATTAATTACTTTTATTTCAAATTTTATAGAACTCAGGTAAATAAAAAAAAATAAAGTCAAGTAACAGCCTATACATGTCCCACTGCTGGGCCAAGGCCTCCTCTTACAGAGGCTATCAGGGCATGGTCCACCACCCACTGGGGATTGGCGGACTTCACATATCTTCGAAAAATATTTTTTTTTGGTTATTTTTTCGAATTTTCGAAAATATGCAGGTTTCCTCACGATGTTTTCCTTCACCGCGGGGCACGTGATAAGTCAGCACTTAAAGTTAAAAACTTCATTGGTTCCGGCACCGGAGATCGAACTCAGGTTGCTCGAATATATTGAATTAAAGGCGAGCGCCCGGACACTGAGCTATCACGGCTAGATAAAACATTATTTAAAAAAAGGTATGAAATGGAGGCCTACTGCATTCCCACAGATAAACTAGCGATATCATACAAACATTAACCACGAAACGATTGTAAAGCACTGGACACATGTTGGTTAGCAAAGATCGATATTTTTTTAATACGCATGGAAAGTTTTTCATGATGTCCGAAATTCTTCGCCAGAAAAAAGAAATAATTTTTAAACGATTTTGTTGATTGGTAATCTCAGATTATACATACTCTTATGATGTCAACTGCGACCTGTTTGATTTATGTATTATGTTTGAATTACTTTAAATTTTTAATGTTAGTTTTATTTGTTCAGACTGAATTGTCATATTTGATTGATTCCGTAAAAATCGTTTGGAGAAGTAACATGTCTAGCTATCTAACATAAATTAAGTTAAAAATAAATTCAAAATGTTTAAGTTGAAATAAAGAGTTTTCTTATAAGTCCTTAAGTGTCTTTTTGGCTTGAAAGTGATCTCATTAGCCACATCTACCATTCAAGAAATTTAACATAATTATAGCGTTTTAAAACAAACAATGGAGTTTAATTATCGTCAAGAACAAAAAAGATATCTTTAAATATTTTTTTATGTAAAAAGCGGAGCTGCCATTACACTTGAACTGCACCACCCATAGGATTGCAGAGGTAGTGCCACCTTTTAATAGTGGGCAATGGGCATGGCTTACCTCAGTGACCAGGCGAAACGCAGAGATAGAACTCTTCCACTTCACGCCGGCTTTCTGTGAGGTCGTGGTACTTTCCCGGTTGGACCTGCTCATTCGTGCAACAGCGAAGAACGCCGCGTGGACAAGAGAGTCTATATTACTACTGTACTCAAGGTGGGGCAAGGAGTCGTAATCTCAACCCATTTCTTTGGGTGAAAAACGTGAGATTATGATGAATTTCAATAACTATCTTCATATTTACTTTACGAAAGAAGAATTATAAACACATTGAATAATCGAAATCATTTATGACGTCCATTCCAGACTGGTTCATTTAATGTATTACGATAGAATAGCTCATTGTCCGGGCACTCGCTTTCAATTCAATATACCCGAACTACCCGAGTTCACCCTGAGTGCTCGCGTGCCGCAAGGAAGACCTCGTGAGAAAACCAGTATATTTTCGAAATGATAACAAAAAAAATATTTCGAAATATGTTAAGTCCACCAAACCGCAGTGGGGTCGCGAGGTGGACTATGCCCTCTGTATACGGTGGGACATTTATAGGCTGCTACATACTTTACTTCTACTGACGATAGAATCCGTAAAATATTTCTATATAACACCAGTATATTTATTTACAAGCGTAATTCACTAGTTACTTGTTGTGCCTATATATTATCTAAAATAATTCAATTTGACGTTATAAGAAATTAAAAAGAAATTAAAGGACACTACTGAGAGTCCACTGTAAGTTTAAAAGGTAGTTTATATAAAAAGAAATTAGAAACGTTCGAACCATAGAATAACTTCCCAACTAGCCGCCGTTAACAAATCACTGGATTTTATTTAAATATATTTAAATTAAATGGTCATGATATTTATAGAAACAGTGTGCCCCCACCACAATCTTTTATCTGCGTACCACATGACCCCGTTTAAAAAGAGATACATCGGAATTCTCGGTCATTCTTCAATCGCGAAACAACAATGTCCCGACCGGTTCTCTCGACGCACGTGCTGGACACGTCAAGTGGGACCCCAGCAGTGGGGCTCTTCGTAGAGCTGTATAAGAAGAGAGGCGACGCCTGGACTCTGTGGCATAGTACAGCGACATCTGGCGACGGCAGGGTACAGTTCCCGTTCTCGATGGAGTCTATGGCGGCGGGAACTTACAAACTGAATTTTAATGTTGAAGACTATTATAAGAAAACGGAAAAAACTACTTTATATCCTTTCGTTGAGGTAAGTTTATTAAGGAGCACACAATTTATAATAATTTAAAATTAATTACCGATATATATTACAATCAGCAATACCTTAGGTAATATAGCCTACCGTATTCTTTCAGATTGTGTTCAACACGGTCGAGGGAGCTCACTATCATATTCCGCTGCTGCTGAGTCCTTATGGATACACCACTTACAGAGGAAGCTAAATTTTCCGTATTCATACGCTGAATTACTTCTCATATTAAATTCAACGTTAAGTTTTGTTGTTTACTTTTCCTTAACGCAACTCAAAACACCAATAACGATCTAATTTATAGGAAACTGCACAACTCATCAGCAAATTGGAATATAAGCTAATTCACATATTATTTTTATCTGTACGCAAACACTACAATAATTTCCGACCTTTGAATCTAATAGTTGGCTTAAATTATTTGTGTTAACTGTTAATGCATACAATAATTGCATTTACGATTAATGAAACGCTGTATTCCTGACAAGATTTTTATTCCAAAAAAATGGTTCCATGTTGACGTCAATTTAGATAATAGGTTGTCATAACAATAATAGTAATTAATGTCAATAACTGCAAGTTTGTCAAATCAAACAATTTTATCGCATTCGAGTTTGTGGGTGAGAATCGGTGATATTGTATACAAGAGCACAGAAACTAACTCAAATTACGCCAATTAGTGGTAATAGTTAGTATTGCAATTCTATAGATTGCTATCTCTTTCCTTATCATACGTTCTACATATGTAAAGCGGAACGGACTTTAACATCATTGGACAGAATAACGAAATTATTGAAATTGTTTCTATCCACCATAATCAATCTGTGAGAATTACCTTGGAGAAGTATATTTTCATGGTTTACATGATATGAAGATTAAAAAAAATAAAACTGCACATTTATATAAACATTGTATATAATCATAAGCTACATACAATCTTAAAATCTAAATTGTAGGCTCTCCCTAACTTTAACAATTACATAATATATACATATCTGTAGCAACACTATTGGGGGAGTGCATGCAGACAGGAAAGTTTAAATTTTTTTTAATCCATCGGAGAAACAAAATTTCACAGATTCAGGAGAACTGTATAAGGCATATGCATTAGATAATAAAAGGCTGTAGGTATATAGGAAAAACTGTCTCATACAATATAAACAAAAATAATGCTCCCCCACCCGCTTTGGTCCAAGTATAATTTCATATTCATTTGAGATAAACTTGGTGACAAACTTCATTCACAATTGTATTATGTTGGTAATATAAATGAATTCAAATTTTTGTTCAATCCTTATTCTCAAGTAAATTGAAGTTGTGTTAGTTGCCTACTTGCCTTATAACTAGTGTTAAATTAAATGTGAATTGAGCTTTTGTGGAAAATGTTAAAACGGTTTAAGAGCAAATAGCCAATGTTTGCAGTATTATTATTTCAAATGGATAGAAGCACAACTTTTTCTTGCATTCCTGCAACACTTGTACAGAATATTGAATTCCTACAAAGTCTAAATAGTGATATCAAGATACAAACTTTTCCTACTGATTTCAACAATTTATTGTACCATTCAATTCCTTTTGTTCGATCAATCATTTGTCTATTATCAGTTTCTTTTTTCTCTAGAAATTTTTCTTCATGAACTATAAAAAGCTATGAATTTGTTGCTTTAAATTAAAATTTTATTGAAAAAATAAGACATAAGTAGATTTGAATAACACTTTGTACACACATGACACAAGCCTATAAAATAGTCTCAAAAACTTCCTTAAATGCTTGTTTGTGAACCTTAATTTTTCTTGAAAATAGAATATTTCCAACTCCGTTTATTTAACTAAATGATAAATAACCAACACACTATACTATTTAAATCAATGTATTCATAGTTTATGGTCTTCTCATAGAAATATTCACTGTTGACTGTGATAAAGTGCAATAGATAACGGTTTTTTAACTATGGCCACATTCGTGGAACTTAATTTACTTCCTAAATTGCAACCGTAACTAAGGAAATTTATATACAGAGGGTGTATTTTGTAACACAATTTTGTTTGGCACGGAGTCTGGTCGCTGGCGTTGACTCTGTAATGTAAATGGTCAAATTTGTCAGTAAAACCATATCAAAATTATACTTGCACACATTCACCATTTCTTCATAATGCCACGAACACTAAGTGTCACAATTTCGGTCACATTTTATTTAGTTCTCTCCTGTATGAATGTCTCTAGTTTCACAAAGGAGCTGTAGTATATCTTCTCAACTGCGTTAGCTATATTTGTTAACCTAAATCAAACGCTTTTGAGCTACATTAAAAAAAATAAACATTACTGTTTATGACACTACCATAATTATATTGGAATGTTCACTGTAAACTAAAAAATAATAAATAAATTATAAAATCACCTCTGAAACCTAAAAAAATTAAATAAAACATATGCCTATTGCATCCCTCGCTTTTCTACATAAATGCATGAGCATAGTTCTGTATACCTGGATGAACCTGTAAAAGAGTATGATGTAACACAAGACAAAAAGACAAACTCACCGCGCAGTGTTGGGCAAATCTTAACGCAGGCCCTTAGGAAGCTTGATGCAGCAACATCTATTGTAGTGAAACCAGAATCAACACATTAGAAATGCTTACATCCAATTGCCACTACAACCAACACTTCCCAGTTCAGTTATTAACAATAAAGTAATAAATTTAATAAATAAACAATTATTTTTTTGCTGAATGTAAATATTGCAGACAATATATATATAAACTAAAATGGTCCTTTTTTATATCATTATGGATCCTTAGCATTTATTAAAAAAGTTCTCTTAACTTTTCTTGAATGTTACTTTATTTAATGTCCATTCATAGTGGACAAATATCCTTTCAGATCTTCAACAAAATTAAGTTTTTAACTTAAACAAAGTAACAAAATTTACTGACCTGTAACATTCCCACCTGTGAAAAAAACACTGTTAAGGCTCAAAAGTATGAAAAAAAACCCACCTAATTAGTGCCATCCTCCTGTCCTACAACTTCTTTGTAACGAGCTATCATCAACTTCTTAACTGTGTCTCTATATGTCTCTCCAGGGGTTGGAGTGTAGACACCTCTTTTTTGTCCAAGTCCTGCTAAAGTGGGTCTTTGTTCGGCTTCAATTGGCGCTATTCTGCCCTGCTCTTCTTTCCCTAGACCTCGACCCTCGGACCAACCCATCTTTTGCAACATCTTACCTCCAATGGTGTCAACTACAGATGGAGGAGGATGCGACATTGATTGTTGATGAGACATTTCTGAAGGTTCAAAGCGCTTTCTGACGAGTGGGGGTTCATCTTCACCAAATTTCATTCTCCTTTCAGCTGCCCGATCCCTATAACCATTTGGGTGTGGTAATAAATCATTTTTTTTCCTATACTCTGCTAAATTCTGTTTGTGCAAATCTGATAATGTTTTGTGTTTTGTCAGCACTTCTACAGAGGGGAATTTACGTTTACAAATAAGACATGTCAATTTTCCCCAATCAATGATTCCCTCATCACTGTCAAATACTCCAGACTCTGTTTTTTTGACAAGAAATTCATCTGTTGACAATGGAGGGGGCGATATCTCTCTGACATGGGTTAAGGAAGGTCCAGCTCCTAGAACTGAGAAACCAATATCAGCAGAGCCTTTACTTGCAGCAGTGTCCAAAGGTTGCTCCATCACAAAGTTGCTTCTGGCATTTTCTTTCTTTTGATTTAAAGTTCGAGCCCATCTTTCCATATCCTTTGCAATCTTCTTGGCAACCTTAACTTTGTCTTCTTTGTCTTTCCTTTTCTTCTCTTCTGGTTCTTTTATAATTGTATTTTCGGTAGTTGCCTCTGGAGGACTAGGGAGTTTAGGCTGGTCCGTGTTCTGTTGATTTTGTGTTGCAGCTATATATGTAGAGGATGTAGAATCCCAATACATATATATGCTTAACTGACTATTATAAAAATATTGTGTTGCACCATCATAGTATAAACCAGTAGCAGGGTCGTAATAATACCCAGAAGTTTCATCATACATAAATGTTCTTACATCAGGCGCACTATACACCGTCTTTCCATCACCAGTAGGTGTTTTACCAGAAGAGTTCATTTGGGAGTTTGAAGAGACAAATACAGGGACTGACACAGGTACCCAAGCCATTTGCCGTGCTTGAGCAGCAGTGATGGCAGATTGAGCTACCGCTGCAGCAGCGTTAACTCTATCTGCCTCTGACATAACTTGCGAAGAATTAAAATTTGACATCTGCGCATAATATGACGAATAATCAGCTGCATTTGATGAGAGAGATTTTTGTAGTTTGGGTGGTTCATTATAAAAGCTTATAAGGACCTCTCTACCATCTATTTCAAGAGGTGGATTTAGAGACAATAGTTCCATGTGGGCGGCAGTAGACTGAGAAATAGAATTGAAGTTTATGTAGGCGAGGCATTTAGATGCACCAGTTAATGTTTCGCGACCTATTGTTATACCTGCTATGGAATCTAAAACTTGTTTCGAACATCTCTCTTTCAATACTTCTAAAATTTTTTCTTCAGTCGTTAAAGCATCTAAACGCCTAAAGAGTAGTCTCTTTGTTATCCCAGAATTACCATCAGACGTATTGCCTCTTTCTGAGTCTATACCCAAGACGGTGCCTTCCGATCTTTTGCCTTGGCAATTGCGCCTGTAGCAGACAAGGCGACGTTTGAAATTGTAGGAGCCACACTTACAGAACCAATCGCCAGCCGAAGCGTTAACAGTTTGGTTCTCGTCATATTTGTCACGCCAATCGTATTTGCTGTCGTAGCCATCGCCGTTGCCATCCTGGCGGTCCTTGCTGCCCGAGCGGCTTCTGGAGTGCGAGTCGAGGTGCCTGTCGGAATCGCCGCTGATCTTGGGCGGCGAGGGGGCGGAAGGCACGTCCCGGTCGTCGAAGCGGCGCGGCGATCTGCGCCGATCGCGCTCCCTTTTGTCGTAGCGGTCGCGGGGGCGGAATCGGTCCGCGTCGCGCTCGTAACGGTCCCGGCGCTCGCGCTCGCGCTCGTAGCGCTCGCGGTGGCGCTCCCGCTGCGGCGACAGGCGCGGGCTGACGCTGCGCCGCGGCTCCCAGACGGGCGTCCGCGGCCTACTCTCCCACCGGTCGTCGTGCTCGCCCCAGCGCGAGGAGCCTCGCTCGTCTCTGCGCCACGACATCGCTGCCTGCGAACATCACCCGCATCGTGAAACGAGTCTACTCACATACCCGACGCCGCAGACCCATCCTCGATACAGCCCGTGAACCGACGAACAAAGACCTTTTTCTTCTTTCTACTGTTTACCTGCTGTAGGGAACTCGGGTTCAATTTACTTTTGTTTCTTCACAATCGCTGTTAATAAAAAATAAACACAAACGTATCGACTTAGTCTTTTCAGAGAGAAGATATGAAAAATAAGATCAACTGTTTAAATTATATGAGAACTTGCAAACATGCCAGCCATTTTCCAATCTATTCCTTTCAAGCTGAAACCATAGATCTTTTCGTCCATAGATTTATTTCCAGACGCATTTCTATTGTCTATGTCAAATGGCGTGATTACTGATTACATAGTTGATGAAATATTATTTTAAATAATATCAATTCAGTCTAATTTTCAAATGTTTTATGCTATTTAATACAATATATTGCTTTAAATATTTTATAAATAAATTGTTAAAATGTTTATACCGAGTTCAGCCAACCATTCTGTGAGAAAGTAAGCCAAATATCTAGGCGTTACCCAGGCAAAAATCTCATATTTAAACAACATTAGCACTGTAGCCAATAAGGCAAAATAGGTAATGTCTCCTGGAAAAGCTCATCTATACGTACACACACATACGTCCTATGATGGTATATTATGATATTATTATTAGATGTTAATGCGCGCCACTGACCACTGTCTGGTTAAGTCAGTATCGTCCAATTTACTTTACCATCCGATCACAATCTATAGAGATTCCGCTGGATATGGCAATACAATTCACCAGATTGGAATGAGATACGGAATTTATTTATTTATTTATTTTAATTAAATATTTTAAATCAAAACTTGGAAGCTGCTTTCTTTGGAGGATCCATCAACTACGTGGATAATGTAACTGATATTGTGCATCAAGCAATAGAATATTTCACCCCTTCGTACTTATGTACCTAACAGTAACAAAACTCACTCATGGCATAACATTGCACTGAATGTGCTATGTGCTAAATATTCGGTGCATCTATTTGGTTCAAAGCTCAGTATCGTAACGCCCCAGATGATAACTCCAAAAAGAAACTTAGACAAATCGGTCGAATTTAAGCTGGATTTACCACATTTCTCTGCCATCGCTGGTAAATCCGGATGATGCATTAGCATATGCGAGCAAGGAAAATACTTATAAGCATATAGGTACTTACTATACATATAAGAATATACTTACTAAGCTTTAATGATAAAAATCCTTTTACTTTACGGTATTCAAAATGTGCTTTCCTTATGGAAAGTTAATAGCAGTTTTCTTCTATTAAAGATTCTATGCGAGCTGGCGGTTGACCTGTTGTTAAGTTATAATCGCCGCCCATGGACATTTGCAACACTCGTAGGGTTGCAGATGCGTTGCTACCTTTTAATAAAGTGGGCTCCGGTTATCTCATTCTCCAGACGAAAAGTAAAACTGTAAGACTACCACTTCCCGCCGGTTTTCTGTGAGGTCGCGGTACTTCCCCGGACAAACCTGCCCATTCGTGCAACAGTGAAGACTGTTGCGTGGTCCTACTACCTAAAACGTTCTTACAACACAGGATAATGTTATTCTTCAGTAAGGCAATGTTAAAAACAATTCATAAACGGTTCAATAATAAAGTTGTTTAAAATAACATCGATTTATTTTAGATATACATTATATAAGTACACATTGGCTTATTTTATTTTCTAAATTTCTAAAACAGAAAATTAAACACTTCACTTCAACTCTCGTATGTCCTTTTTTTCTATATAACTAAAGACTTATTTCTATAATAATAACTGATAAATTTTTAATTGTGATATTTATACATCAATCTACAGATATTGTAAATGTAGATAAATTAGATAAAATTAATGCCGCGTGGACTTGGTTTTTTAAATAATATTTAATTTAGATAGATTTACGCCCGGTTTCTGAAACACTGATTATCGTAGATGTTAACTAATCAGTAGCTGTCAAATGGCTTTTAAAATGTCATTTGAGTTGCCAAAAGGATGGTTAAACTCTTGGAATTGATCATTTTGATCATTAGGAAGATCATTCAAGCTTATTAGTTGACATCTAGGATGATCAGTGTTTCAGAAACCGAGCGTAAATGTTGTAAATATTGGATAATAATTAAATATATACAACTAAATATAAATTATTATAATTTGTTTAAAATTAAAAAAAATATATAAAAGTTACATAACAGTTAAAGCTTGCCTGGATTGTATTACAAAAACATTATTAATTTTAATTTTAATGTTAAAATAATCTATATAAACAAAATTTAAAGCAACTTTTACATTAACAAGAATGTATTCTTAAGGTATTCTCATTTAATTTTCAATGAACATATAAATCTGAAAGATGCAAGCACATTTCAATAATATTTAAAAGAATAATACACATATAGAACGATATAATACTAGTGGGTATATTTTCTTCTCATGGTTGACATGTTACCATTAATGGTAGTAGCAGAGTTTAAACTCAGTTAATCAAATAGAGAGTAAGAGATTGTTCTGCAATCGATAGAACCGCAAATATGGTAAAAATGTAAAGTAGTAGCTATTTGTTACTTATATTATTTTGCCTTTCTAAGCATTTTAAAGCTCCTGCGTATCTTCTAAATTTTAACTTTATCAGTTATTAATGTCACAATGTTGGACATATCTGTATTCTGTTCACATGCTGCTGTTACAGACCTGACCCTTTATAATTGCTCCACTAGTTTCCGATGTCAGACATATTAACATCTTACTATCAGAGCTTTTATCGACAAAGCAGTTTGTATATAATAGAGAAAGTACACCGATTAACATTCGAACAGTTATGTAATACACAATGTTAAGCTATATAATTAGATTTCGCAGCTGGTGCGGATCTAGTTTGTTTGGAATTCAATAAAAAAGTTATAAAAACTGAATATTATTAACTTAATTTATAATACTTAAGAAAAGGAAAGTAAGGGATAAAAATTAAACGATAATTATGTTTGAACGACGCTTATAGCAACGCTAAAACCGAGTTGGCGGGAATATTTCCAGCCAAACACGCAGCAAGATGGAATAGGTGGGGGTGTCTCACTGCGCAACGACTCTTGATTGACTAGTCTGGAGGGAGACAAAACGCCTGTGGTGCGTATGGCTGTCTCTTTCGCTGTGCGAGGACGATGAGCGGCCAGAGCTACTCCGGCCTGCCGGTGAGCAGGTGGTTCCGCAGGGTGCAGATCTCGCGCTCGATGTTCTCCCTGGCGGCCGCCTCGAAGCACTCGAACTCGGCGGTGTGGAACAGCTTCGGGATCTGCGAGAACTGGTTCAGCACCTGTCCGACCCAAGTTCTATGAAGCGCTTTTTGCTGTGAACTACGTAGAGGGAACGAATACTAGCATAGTTGGCGCTACGTGCTAATAGTTCATATTTCACTTTATTTAAATGTGAGTTTAACACATACTTTCGAAATAATTTCGGACGTTTAAGGATTCGAACCTGCGTCTTCTGGGCAAGGCGCTAAGACGCTCACACGCCCAGAGAAGTTCACGGGGTTAAATTGGACAAGATTTAGTTGGCCCATGCAAAAGAATTTAGGTCACGAGCCCGTCCGCCAGCTGTACGCCGCACGCACCTTGATGCGCAGCTCGACGTAGCTGCGCTGCGCCAGCTTGGAGTACTCGGCGCGCACCAGCTTGGCGTGCGCGTCGTACTCCTCGCGCGAGGCGGCCAGCACGGCCAGCTCGCAGTCGGCGAACAGCTGCAGGTCGCGCAGCACCGCGCCCTGCGCCGCCTCGGCCCCCTCCGCCGCCCCGGACTGCGCCGCCTCGTCGTCCGTCAGCAGCGCCAGCGCGTACGACGTCAGCTCGCGCTGCGCCTGCGCAACGAGTGTAGCTAGCACCTTCGGCCGAGCGGCGAGCCCTTCCTCACCCGCCGGCCGCCGCTCACCTCCTGCGGCAAGTGGCGCAGCACCTCGGCCAAGAGGCGCGCGGTGAGCTCCGGCGGCGTGTGCCGCAGCACGATGGCCAGCTTGAAGGCGGCCGGCTGCGCCGCGTCCGCCACGCCCTTGCACAGCATGTTGTGCCACACGCCGGCCTGGCCCGAGATTTGTATGTGAAAAGACGGCAAACTAGCTAGCGGATCAACTATTAAGTGATAAGCGCCGCCTACCGACATTTGCAACACCCGTAGTTGCAACACGGATTGTCTTATAATAAAGTCGGCCCCGATTACTGCACTCATCGGACGAACGCAGAAGGTTTACACTTCCTCTTCACACCGATCTTCTATAAGTTCATGGTACTCACCCGGACGAACCTGCCCATTCGTGCAATGGCGAACTGTTGCGTGACCCTACCACGCACACCACTGCTTTACGGAGGAAGTATCCAATGACTTTTACTGGTAGAATCACACGTCAATTGTAGTGAAGCATAGATGAGCCGATCCGCACAAAACACGTTTCGGGAAACTGGTTCTTAGTATGTGCACTCTTGCGCTTCCCTGGCGAGTAAGATGACCGGAAACCACCGGCTGCACACCTGCATCGCTACCGGAGGTCTGTTACTTACCATCAGACGAATCGGAAGAATATAATTCAAGGAGATGAGGAACTCTTGAGGACCTGATAAGCGACGCAATTGCGAAGCGAGTGCCACACCGAGTCGGGCGGCGAGGAGTCGACGACCTGCTGCCACGTGTCCTCGGCGGCGGGGGTGGCGAGTGCGGCGCACGCGTTCCGCCACATCCGCGCCGCCGAGCAGCCCTCGGCCTCACCAAACACTGACAACCCCACATCCGCACCATTGAAACGCAGCTCTAAACGCACTATTTGGTACCATGAATCAAATCAGGAGTTGTATGTTACAATTTATGTTGATTGAGTTGGTTTTATTTTACTTATCAATCTCATTGCTGTACTCTGGTTAAACCATCAGGCAATTTTCGATGTATGCCTTACTTAAATATAGGACTTACAAACGAACAGTCCTCCATATTTATAACTATCCTATTTACCTTATGCATTATGCGTTGTTTCATAGAAAAGTAAAGAAGACCGAAATTATCTAATATCCGTCGTATTAAAAGTTTCCGTTGAATGACGTTAAATTGGGTGGCGCTACGGTAGCATGTGGGTATTAGATAGTGGTGGTGAATTAATCGCCGTTGTTACTAGTTAATAAAATTCAACTCAACAAGATACAAAATCACACTCTCTCGCTACTCTAGGGCCATTATTTACTGCTTACAGGTAGTGCTTACTTTTGTAGCTGTTCCCCCATATGACACAGTGCTACTTACCATTATCCTCCATAAGTTAGACATATCCTCCATATATTACTTATGTAAGATAATGGTAGTTGTTAGTTTAGTAAAAAATACATTTAATATACTACTAGTAATTAAAGTGAAGGGGAAATTAAAAACTATCTCCCCTCTCCTCCTTTGCTATTTGATAAAAAACGGAGACACGAATTGATTGTACGTAAAGATATATTTAAATTTTTCCTATCTTTTCGCGAATATTGCATAAACTGGATTTTCATCACGATTAGCTATATTTTTAAGTTCTAGACGTTATATGCGCTACTCATGATTATGTTCGTATAATAACGCTGCTTTGCGACAAAATAGTTTATAATGTCGTTGTTATATAAGAATTTCTTGATAAAAATTATAAACAATGGATGGTCAAGAAATTCTTAGGGTCAAATAAATGAATTATGTTTACAATACATGAAATGCATAATAGTCGATCGTCTGAATAGCTTCGAATAATAAACATCTCTTATTGAACGTCATTGAACGAAAAAAATTGATTACTTTATAGGGAAATGGACACAATGATTTATTGTATCGTTCATTTCTGCAGATTCTAAATAAATGTACTGTTACTTGTTTTGAAACTTATTGTTATGTAATACAGCATAAAATCACGTAGCAAACAAATATTACAATTTCAGACTATTATAGATGCTAAATCACGGTCTTAAAGTTTTAATTCGAGTAAACATGGCTGCTGTTTCTCGAACGAATCGATAACAATCCAGACGGAAAACGGATCATAAACTTTATCCCATTGTGTCAAAGAACATTTTAACATGTGTTTTAATAGTATAAACACTCAATAACATGTTAAACATATATCATATTCTGTATTCTCCTTGAATGGTGAAATCGCAAAAGTATAAAAACGGGAAATGTGAAGAATTTAAATTATGTAAAGATTTTGTATTTGTTTCACAACGTTTGAAGTGACGCTCAATAATTGAAAAATGTGCACGGATTTTAATTAAATCAAGTTAAAGAACTGTTAGATTTAATTATTTCAACAGTGAATTTTAACCGAATCAAGTTGTTTCATCCACGATAATTGTTGATTTAAGGATTCCTTTTACAAAAAATACTGATAATTTTACAAATGAAATTTTATCTTATGCTCATCGGTGTACTAACCGCTAAGTGGGTAAGCTACTTATTCGTCGTTTAATACCAGTTTACCCGACGTAGTGACCGTGAAAGCGGAACTCAAGATTTTATTCTTCCCTTTCTAGCAAAACAATAACTTGTGACTTGTGGCCCGTGGGCCACTTTACTGTTTACCTATAAACATTCAAGTGATTTATATAATTGCGCGAAAATGTAAACAAGACTGTAGGATACCTAACGCCGGCCCCATGCCATTCATATAATAAATAAGTACCTACCATTACAAAAAGATATAATAAAACAACTAACAGTCGCAGAAGTTACAATAACGCAATTAGGAAAATGATACAAACAAGCAAGAGAAACCGTCCTCCTAAAAAAATATTGTATTGCCAATAAACAAATAATAAAAAATAATGGATAATAAAAACCTCCCATATCCGGTTCCCTCCACCAGAGTTCTGCTAGATCCAGAGAGGGGGGATCCGCACAGGTGTGACGTCACCTAGGAAACAAACATTACACTAAATCACTAAAGAAGTCGCCAGCGGAACGACTCACTTTATTGTGTACGTGTTCAAGTGTGCAATGAAACAGCACACTTCGAAACGTACGCGATTTGATTGGCGACGACATTAACAGCGGCAAATTTGAAGTTAATCAATGGAATTACTAGTTAATTATTCAGTTAATCACGGTATTAATCTATGTATACGACCGCATTATAATGATAGTATAATGTATAAAGATGGTATTTTGATAAAATGAAAAATGATGCTAAAAAGAATAACGTAAAATGCACGGCCTAGTAAATAAGGAATTATTTTACTTGTCCGTGGTTTCAATGATAAAGCTCTATTACTTAATAACAATAGCATTATCTATATTAATGGATTGCACATTGCACATTTTTGTAACTTCTAGACAATTCTAGAGCGGAAAGAAAAGAACATATCTTATAGGTGGGGTGTGTTTGTGTTAATGTATAAGTGGAATCAATTGCTAGGAGCAATACTTACTTTGCGGGCCCGGTTTTTCTCCGCCAACAATATTCTATTTTTCAACGCGACAGCGACGTAGGGCGCGCTCGAGCGTCATGGCGGCAGCGCAGACGCGAGGGGCGAAGTGATGTGCCGGAACGATATCGACTCCCGTCGAATCGCACGATGGCTGAATTTCCTGGACTACGTGTAATATGTGCTTACTGACTATTTTTTTCCATGTGAGAAGGTGGCAAACGAGCTGTCGTTTCACCTGATGGTAAGTGATAATCGCCGCCCATTGACATTTGCAACACTCGGTGGATTACATATTCGTTTCCAGCTTATTATAAAGTAGGCCCCGATTAGTGCAATTATCAGACGAAAAGCAGAAGTATTACACTTCCACTTCACGCTGGTCTTCTGTAAGGTTGTGGTACTTACCCGGACGGACCTGCCCATTCACAATGAAATCCTTCAATCCGCAATCTACAGGATAAGCTCTCTGAGCTCATTCTGTAGATTGTTTTTCGTTAGTTGGGCTAAAGCCAATACATTGGTCAAGTGTTTAGTACAGTAGATAAGTACAGTATGTAAGTACAGTAAGTAAGTACAGTAGAATAATCTGTCGGACAATGGCAAGGCTAGGGCAAGGGCCACGCAACAGCGAATTGTTGCGTGGTCATACCACAGTTACTATTTCATCAGCTTGACTTGAGTTTCAGTCGCACATCGAAAAGAACGTTCGATTTCAATTTAACAATAACGTTTCAACTAATTACTTTATATTAGTAATAAGATTAAATTAAACGTTTATGTAGTAAATAATAATAAGTAATAGATTTTAAAGAAACGTATGTGTGTACTTTCGGTTATATTAAATTAGTATCTAAAGAAAAAATATTTAGAATATAAAATCCAACTAGCTATCTAATAAAGCTAGTTCACGAGACATGGCGCCAAGTACGCTAGCTGCATTTCCTCGCTTGAAAGGTTATACCTAATCTTTGAGTAAGAAATAAACCAGCCCTCTTGAACCAGTCTCGCCCCCTTAAATGCCCCTTTAATGAAAGGCAGCAAGGTGTTTACACAAGTAGCATCCCAAACGTGGGCTTTTCCACTCTCTCGAGGGATAAAAGTCAAATTTATATCATCGCGGAAAAATGTTACGCGAGGCCGTAAAGACCCTGTTTATCTACATAGAAACTACAAGGGCATTGGTGTGGTTGATAATCGGTGCCCCCAGAAGGATTCCTACAACAATGCATAAGCTTTCATCGTCAAGTAATGTGCCCAAGATATGGTAAAGCGTGAAGCCATTATTTTAGATTCTTTTATCTCGACATTTGTTTAATTTGTATTGTCTGATTTGTCGTCATTTCTAACGAGATACTTTTGAGTTTTTAATCTACATATTCGAGGAAAATAGATACAGTTTCATGCATCAAACATCATTCTTCACAATTTAATCATTAATAATTTCGATACTGATTAAAATTCCAACACTCATCACTATTTCGTTAAGGGAAAGAACATGGGTTTGACGCGTGCGTAAGGGCGAGTTCACAGCATTTTAGTTCTTATAACAAAGCAAACAAAAATATGCTTTAACATTAAGGCGATATAGTTTATAATATTTTTTTTATAGTTTAAGATCACAATTGATCGCAATTCTGAGTCATCTAAAGAATATAATTATAAGAAATTGTGATTGGACGTCAAAATGCTGTACATCAATTCAATTCAATCATGCAATTAGTAGCTGTACATCATATAACATTGGTAGGGCCACGCAACAGTCTTCGCTGTTGCACGAATGGGCAGGTCCGTCCGGGTTTGCTTTTCTTTTATATGAAAAGTTGCCAAACGAGCAGACGTTTCACCTGATGGTAAGTGAATCCCGCCGCCCATGGACATCTGCTACACCCGAAGGTTACAGATGCGTTGACAACCTTTTGAAAATTGGGCTCCGGCTACCTCACTCACCAGACGAAACGCGAAAGTATTTGTCATATTTCCCAGACGGGCCTGCCCATTCGTGCAACAGCCGAATAATAAAAGAAGCGATATTTATAAAGGTGAAAAGTCTTTATTGGACTCTAATAATAACAAATGATACACAAGTCATTAATATTGAATGGGATATAGTTCGTCCCATACTTTCATTCTGTCTTCCTTCAGGTTTGCCCTGACGGAGAACTCTTTGTCGATTCGGAGATAGCTTCTCTTCTCTGGTGTCATCGCAGGCCACTTCAAGTCCTTTATCTCCGGAAGATCGAGGTCACCCCGGGGATTGGGGTCGCTGGTGGTAAAACTACGTGTGATTGATGTTTATAAAATATTTTAATCAATAACTTAATAAGCTTAAGAACTTCTACTAGTTCGATAAAATATGATTGAGAATCGGACAATTACTTCGTTAGTGTGTCCTAATTACCAGCATATCAGCTCTCGATAGAAAAGTCAAAATTTCGTCTTGAATTTTAACATTGCGCTTAATAAATCACTTAGCTAAATGTTTAGCTTTAGTTATAATAATTATGTGGATTGACGATGGTGATAAAAAAGAAAAAAATAAAACAGTGACGATGAAAACGATAAGCGCACAAATCGATATGCGAAGTTTTGTAAGAAAATGTTGAAAAAAGGGTGGATTGAAAAATTTGCTGTCTTGTATATTATTAATAAGAATTTTTAACTTTTTTTATATTAAAACATGTAGAAAATGTTTTTTTATATATTTTTTTAAAAAAACATAGCCCTTACTTTAGGATAACATTATCCTGTGTTGTAAGGACATATTACAAACATAAATATCACGCAGACAAAAACCCAGATGCGAAACAACTATCTGTGGGCCACACAAATAGTTGTCCCATGTGGGAATCGAACCCACGACCCCCGACGTCGAAGCCAATACCTTGGCAACTACGCCACGAAGTCATCGCACTTTTTATAAAATGGATAAATTTTTAAATTTGCACAAAATACTAGATGGCGCCAATCGTAATTTAAAATGCAATAAAAACACAGTAACCCAGCAGATAAATATGCTGATTTTTGTCGATTACGCCTTTTAGCGCAGCGGCTAGAGCGCCGGGATCAAGGACACAGCTTCAAATACTCGCGGCGGCGAAAAAATTCGTCCATTTTGCTTTAAAAAATCATCAATATGCACTTGCTAGAGCAGAGAAGACGTTTCAATGTACCCTTCAACAATACGCCTCGGTGTTGCCGTGTTCCTTCTAAAAGTGATTGGTCATTGTAATAGTCATAATCGTCTTACCCGTGCTTCGCGAAAGTGTACCAGATGGCGGTCATGGCGTCGACAAGTCGGGCGTCGGGGCCCGCGGTGCCGATGGAGGGGAAGCGGTAGCTCAGCGAGAACAGGTAGATCAGGTCGTCGTGGTGGGCGGCCGCTGGAGGGACGCGCCATTATTTCACCAATTTACGTAACACACGGATAAACGCGAAATTATAATCAATGCAATGACCGACTAGACTGTTGGCTAGCAGTCTAATCGATCATTATTTGTGCGTGGTGGTGGCAAGTGAGTGTGCTACGTGATAACCGTATCACGTAACATCAGGTGAACCGCCAGCCATTGAAATTTGCAATAAGGAAGAAAGAAAAAAAGAAACATTTATTCACGGTCTAACCACAATAGATACATAACAAACTCGAAAGTAATTGAATTAAACAAAACACAAAATAATGTTGCGAAAATTAGAATAAATCAAAATATCAAAAATAGGGAAGGTCTGTGTGGGAATTGAATCTAGGTAAAAATCGAGATACAGAAACTAAAATTGTTCTGATCCCGGCGCTGGTCTTCGGTCCGGTATATAATAATACAATCCTACTACTTATACAACTTTCCATCTTAATAGACCTTGGTTATCATTCGTCTAATGAAGATAGTCAAAAATGAAGTTTTTTTCAATATTGGTGTCGGTTGCTTCGTTCGCATTTCTGTTTTAGGTCACGCCTAGGGGTGTCCTTCAACAATTCAACAAAGGGGCCCCGGCTACACTGAACGAGGGCATGACTCACCCGTGGGCTTCCCGGTGACGGGGTCCTCGTAGTGGCTGTGCCGGCCGATGTACGCGAACTCGTAGTAGTACACTTTGTGCGCGGAGTGGCGGCACATCAGGTTGGCCATCCTGATTAGTTTATTCATTTATAATAGTTATGGCAAATGGCAAAGTATAGTGGTATTTAAGAGATTACACATTATTAACTGTAACTCATATATTAAAACATGTACAAAAAGTACGAAAAGACTGTCGCCGCTGTGGGAATCGAACCCACGTCTTCGGCATTCGCGGCCTGACGCTCTAGCCACTGAGCTAAACGGCTGATAGCCACGGCGACGAAAATCTTAACGCCTTCTTTCTACATTGTTATTTAGCATTTGAAGCAATGCTTGGATATAACAATAGATGCGCCATTTTTTTGGTATTTTTTTAATGTTTGTTACTTTAAAACTACGTAATTTATGGACCAATTATAAATTTATTTTGTATTGGGTTTGGTTTAGCTCCCATGTGGTCCCATATTAATTACATTGTATTGGATCTTGGGCTCCGGAGATACTTTAGGAACTCCTGAAAATCAGTTATAAAATTAATATAAACCGAGATATTTGAAGACAGCTTTGTTTTTTATTACTTTTTTATTAACGAAAAGTTAATAAAAATTTACTTGTATTCATAATGTTTTCACCTTTATTTTGAGGAGTGCTTAAGTTATGATTTAAATGTTATCGATATGATGATAAAATGGTGGAATATGACGTCTAATTAAGAGACTTTTTTTATAAATATTGCTGTAAATCGCCATCATAAAACTGACCACGGTGGCAGGGCCACGCAGCAGCCTCGGCTGTTGCACGAATGGGCTCGTCCGGGTAAGTACCACGACCTCACAGAAGACCGGCGTAAGGTGGAAGTATAATACTTTCGCGTTTCGTCTGTTGAGTGAGGTGGCCGGAGCCCAATTGTCAAAACGCTGTCAACGCATCTGGAACCGTCTGCTCGCTCGGCATTTCTTCACGTAAAAAAGACCTGTGGACGGGGAAGCCGATGATGGCGTCGCCGTAGATCCTCCCCAGGGCTGTGGCGGTGGCCGAGTCGTTGCGCAGCGGCTTATCACCGAAGTAGAAGCTCCTCAGCCGCTCCACTATGGGCGCTGATCCCTCGCGGGGAATCTGGAGCGAGATGGGCGCCACCCGCTCCCATTCCGAGTTCATCTGCTCCAGCAGCGTCTGGTTGTTCAGAACGGCTGCCGAGTGACAGTATTATGTTAACATGAAATAGGTCGTGGAGAGTGTTTAGAGTGTTTTCTTGTGGTGGCTGTCATGACATTGCCCTAACTAAAAGGAGAAACATCAACACACCGTTGCGCAATGACAATTATTTGTTCGACAAATTATAATTTAAAGTTACTAAAAAATTGCCAATATAGACGACCGGATTGGAACTTCACATATCTTAAAAAATATTTAATAGTTTTATATTATTTCGATAAGATGCAGGTTTCCTCACGACGTTTTCGTTCACCGCTGAGCAAGTGATAAGTTAGCATTTAAAATGAACAATTTCATCGGTGCCGGCACCGGGGATCGAACTCAGATTGCTCGGATACATTGAATTAGAGGCGAGGGTACAGACTGTTAGTTCACTTGCTTCTGCCATTCCACCTTCCTTGGTTACTCACTGAAGGCCTTCCAGAAGAACTCGTCCTCCGTCTGGCTGACGAGGAGGGGAACCGCGTGCATCCTGCCCTCGCGGATGGCGTCCGCAGGCTCCACGTGCAGGAAGCGCTCCTGCCCGAAGTCCTTCTCTATCACCGGCAGCCAGATGCCCACCGGATCGAACCCGAACTCCTACACATAAATTACGATCCGTTCTTTAAAATACAACGGACCTCGCTATACGCGAGTAGTACGAGAGTAGACGTGAGCACACAAAGTAACTAAACAGTTGTGGCGTCCTCAATTAGCAGCAAGCGCGCAACCATTTATTTTTATTTAATATATTAACTGTTTTTGGGTATATTCTCATTTTGATAATCTATGGGTCGAGGCGTTGGTACTTCGCGACAGTTGACGTGAGGTTGTGCACACACATCCGTTCTAATTTATTATTTAGTCCGTTCTGGCTCGAATGGCAGAGTAATAGCTGATACTGTGCCATCGGTTAGCCTTAATATAGTTACCTAGTCATTATACGCCATTTATATCCAGGAAGTTATTTCATTCTAACTGAACCTACAATCAACAATATATGTACGGAATGAGATGAGGGAGTCACGGGACATTTTTTCGACCTACCTGCCCCAAACACATACTTGTGTATAAAGTCGAACCTATATTAATCCAGATATAGTGAAATTGGTTTAAATTATCAAAAACCAATTAATTGCGAGTCACAGATATAGTTGTTCCGTGTGGGAGTCCTGGTAAGCTGCATCACAGAGTCAAGATGAATACCATTATCAACATGATTCAAATATTGTACCCTAGTTGGCATAGGACGATTATGTTTTATGGGTTCGGTAGTGAGTCGTAAAGACCACTGCCTCCTAGAAGATCTATTACAGTCTAAGTGATAACTGCCGCTCATAATCATTTGCAACACATTTAAAGTTGCAGATGCGTTGCCAACTTTTAATAAAGTGGGCCCTGGCTACCTCACTCACCAGACGGAACGCAGAAGTATAGCACTTCCACTTCTATCCGGTCTTCTGCGAGGCCGTCGTAGTTTCCCGAACGGACCTGCCCATTCGTGCCACAGCGAACACTGTTTCGTGGTCTACTACAGTAAGGGGCAATCCGGAATGGGCTCCGAGAGCTCATTCTGTAGATTTTTTTATAACAGTTGTGATAAGAGCAGAAGAAAGAAGCCAGCGGCGTACGTAGAACCCGTTGAGGGAGTCGCCGAGCTGCTTCCAGGGCGTGGTGCGGAGGCAGTCGACGATGGCCCTGGAGGTGGCGGTGGGGCAGCCCACCAGCTCGGCCTGGCGCCGCGCCAGCCGCAGCATGTCCGTGGGCGTGGGCGTGGGCAGCGTGGGCGACGCGCTCATCGAGATGCCGCGGTGGAACAGCCCTGCCGAGGTGTTTCGAGAGCGACGTGAAATATGACAGTCAATATGCAACACGGCGTTACAACTGCGACCATTAGTTGTCGCACTTCTAACACTACTTGCCAATGATCATAAAAAATATAAACGTTTAAAAAATCCATAAATAAAAAATATAATTTTCAAAGAATCTAATTAAATTAAAAAAAAACAAATTTTGTAACAAATAAGATTCATACATTCAGTGACTTTAATTCGTTGCCACAACGTCGCATTATAGGTTTTCTTCTTACAATATATTTTATTTCTTTTAAATTCATTTAACCAATTCATATGCTTTATGATCTTTACAAATGAACTTGACATTAAAGTTTTAACGTACGACTGTCCAAATTATTTGTTTTAGAAAATATAACTCAAACTCGGTAAATATTGATGTTTAAAGAAAGTAAATATTTAATACAATTAAAAAATTATTCTCTATATGCTTTGTACATTGGAAACCGAATGATGGAATCCCGAAGAATTTATTTGTTACCAACATTTTTACTACTGCCGGCATAATAAAGAAAAAATAAGAGAAGTATCGTCTGCAAATAATACTATGTTTGTCAGATCCTGCACCACATGTGGTAAGTCATTTATATAAACTAAAAATAGAAAAGGCCCCAAAATAGACCCTTGTGGTACTCCCATTTTAAGCAGGGATCCCTGTGAATATGAGTCATTTACGTGTATCTTCTGAATTCTCTGTTCTAAATATGATTTGATAAGTTTAAGTGCACTATTTTTGACACCGTAATGATATAGTTTAAGTAATAAGGTTTCGTGTTGTACACAATCGAACGCCTTTGAAAGATCACAAAAAACCCCTATAGCGTCATAAGAATCTTCCCATGCACTAAAAATATGCTTTACAAGCGCAACACTGGCGTCAGTAGTAGAACGCCCTTTGGTGAAGCCGAACTGCTTATTATGTAAAAGAAAATTTTTATTGAAATGTGATAGAAGTTGATTCAATATAATTTTCTCAAAAACTTTACTTAATACAGGTAAAATAGATACAGGTCTAAAATTACTAGGATCGCCTTTATCACCTGTCTTAAATAATGGTATTACTTTACTGTATTTCATCAAGTCAGGGAAAATTCCTTCATCTATACATGTATTAAAAATGAGGGCAAGATATGGCGCCAGAGTGTCAATTATCGAACTACAAACTTTGACAGACATTCCAAATAAATCCTCTGTAACCTTTACTTTAATTTCCCTACAAGCTTTAATTACTGTTTTTTCATTTACATGTTCAAATTTAAAATCAGCGTTACAGGGTTTAACATGATTTTTGAGTGTTGTCGCAGAAAGAATTGGTGAGGAATTCAGCGATGCAGTGGTTTTAATAGGAATATTAACAAAAAAGTTCTCAAATTCTTGAGCTACCTCTAAATTAGAACTTACAGGCCCCTTGTCTAAATTTAGTTTGTAATCACTATCGCGCTGTTTTGTTTTGCCAGTTTCATTATTTATAATATTCCAAACTGCTTTTATTTTATTGTCGGCCATCTTAATTTTATTACTAATGTAAAGGGCTTTAGCAGTAATGCAAATTTTTTTAAAAGTTTTCGAATAACATTTGACGTAGTCATTAAATTTATCGCTAATTTTATAATTCCTTAATTCGTAAAGTTCAAAAAGTTTCTCTCTGCTTTTCCTTATACCTGGTGTCGCCCAGTCACTAAACTTAAATGACATACCAATGCTTTTATTTTTAATTTGAAAAATTTTGTTATATTCTGCAGATATAATAGAAAAAAAATTTGCGTAAAAAATATTTGGATTACTTAAATTAAATTGAATGGAAGGCAATTTATCAACCAAAACATTGTTAAATTTCTCCAATCGACCAGATGTGATTGGCGGTATAGGTTGATGAAAGGTGTACTATCTCTGATGTCAGTCGTCCCCTCATCTGTGTGAGCAATATCAAGTAGTAGTAACAAGACACAGTCCATACCTTTGGACATGGGGGAAATCATGTGGAGCATAACACTGATGGAGCCAGCACTGCAGCCGCTGATGGTGACGAGGTTGGGGTCTCCACCAAACGCAGCGATATTCCTCTGGACCCATTTTAAAGCAGCCACCTGGTCTTTGAAGCCGTTGTTCCCAGGGGCGAGGGCATCTCCTGTGCTGAGGAACCCTGTGAATAGAAAGTTGAATACTAACCGTCTAGTATAAGACCACATTCACACCGGATGGCAATTCGTAAAGCTCATTTATAATCTGTTCAATCTTGACTTGAAACTCGTAAAGAAAAAAGGAAAAAAAATGATGTGATTACACTTTTCTCTGTTCTCTTATTTTTTTTCTTAAAAACGACTAGAAAGTACGTAGGAGATGTAGATCTGTCATCGAATTGACTACCTCTTTTGTAACCAGACGTATTACATATTTTTGCATCTTTCGGATGCGCGTTCTTAAAGTTTTAAGGACTAAAGAAAAATGGAAATAATCTAGATTAAATTGAATCGTGTTAGGGAAACATATGACTAGAAGTCGTCTCACCGAGGGACCCGAGTCTGTAGTTGATGGTGACCAGCACGATGTCCCTATCGAGCAGGTAGTGGGGACCCGCCACGTCGCTTCGCCCACTAAAAGCGTAGAAACCCCCGGCGTGGATGTAGAATATCACAGGCATTGGCTCCTTGCTGCAACAGTAAATACGACAGATGAGGAAACATGAGGCTTAGGCCTTGCCAAAGTCCATTGCTACACAAGGTTGTTCCGAATGTGTGTAAAATGGGTGTAAGTTAATTGTGTCCATAAATTTATTTTTGTGAAGCCTCCCGGGACACGAGAATACTTTTGATCATGACACATCCACTTTCGCGTCGGTCTTCTGCGAGGTCGTGGTCCTTACCCGGACGGAGCTGCCCATTCGTGCAACAGCCGAACCCGTTGCGTGGTCCTGCCACATTAAAAATGTAGCCTTTAAGTACCTTTTATGGTTAGGTGTGTAGACGTTGATGCGTAGACAGTCCTCGTCTAGGTAGTAGCCTGGCGGCGCGGGTAGAGGACATGCGGGCCCCTCTTGGCTCGCGTCCACTTCTTCTGCATATTTCTCGATCAGCTTAGGAGGCTAAAGAAGCAAAGGCGAGTGAAATCTTTTTTGTTATTTTATATTGATTGTTGCAACTAATTATAAAATGTAGAAATTTTCATGATTGAATTTGATGTCTTAGTATACTAGGATACTTAAGTAGTCATCTGTATCATATTTTTTTTGTTTTTTTTTTAATAATGAAATGCATAAGTGCTAATAATTTTTGCTCATGATCCTAGTTCAAAAATCAAAGTTCTTCTGAGCTTTCAAGACATTTTACTATCTTAAAGAGACACATCTTCATTCTTAGTATATTTTTACGAACGCCTCCATCATTTTTAAAATTTAAGGGCGTCATGAAGTCTTGCGCTTGATCAAAGCCTCTTCACGAGCACGACATACTGAATCCAGTAACAGATTGAATCAAAGTGCATCTTGATGGTTTCAGTCTTTGGTGAAGTTCCAAAGCTGCACTTTAAACCATAACTGGTTCTGGTGTATTGTAAAAACAGAAACGTCCAGATGTTTCGGTACCAAAATTCATGTGGCCTTGTCGAAATTTCTTCGAACTTTTTAAAAGCTCTCACGTATCTTAACCCTTAAGGGATAGATTGAGACAGAAGTAGCGCAAATCCTAAATTCACATCTCAGCAAGCTTATTTTTGTTATAGATCCGAAAAATGAAAACCCATTAAAGTACTGCACTTACTGTGATTCAAACCAGCGACTTTGCCGTCGCAAGTTTGAAGACCACAAGTTTATTCGCACGTCTGATTACAAGTTAATAGCGTACTGCATAGTCTCTTTATTGATCTTTTTCTCACCAACTAAATAACTAAATCTTATTCAGAACCAGCGTTGCTCGCGCAACAAACGCGAATCTAACGAAATACCATTCATCAAATTCGGTTCAGCTATATAACAGCTAACGAACGAACATAAGGTCCTAGGAAAGGACAGACATAATGTTATGTATATGAGGGTACATAATTATGTACATAACACATACTTAGAAGTGAAACACATACTCTCAATTTTTTGGCATCGGTTAAAAAGATAACATGTAGGAACAAGACCGTTTTGTTTTCTGACCGATTCCTCACTAAACAGGTCTTATTTAATAACCCATGGTAGTTGCTGTACTAATAAGAGCCTGGAATAAGCTTAGAGAGCACAAAAAATAACAATTTTTAGAACATGTATTACCTGGAATCGAAGAGGCCCGACCGGCGGTTCTGCGTAACGGATACCCCTATAAGCCTCGAAGGGTCTGCCGCGACGCGACTCCATCATGGAACCCCTGATGATGCCCGATGGTGTCACCACCACGGGCTGCCCATCGGGGCCAGGCTGTGATGGTGCTGTTTGGAACATTATTTTATAAAATAGCTGCACTTTGTAACAAGAGTCGTGATAGGTTCAATATACTCGAGCTAACTGAATTCGATCCTCGGTGCCGGCACCAATGAAATTGTTAATTTTAAATGCTGACTTATCACGTGCTTCACGGCACGGAAAATATCGTGAGGAAAATTGCGTATTTTCAAAATAATTACAAAATTCGAAAAGATATTTCGAAGATATATGAAGTCCGCCAATCCGCACTGGGGCCGCGTGGTGGACTATGCCCTGATACCCTCTCTATAGAGGAGGCCTTTGCCGAGCAGTGAAATATATAAGGCTGTTACATTACATTACTTTGTGGCAGCATTTTTTGCTGTCAGAGGTCTTTAGCTTCTGGTGTTAGTTTTAAAACAACGGACAGACATATCATTACGATATTTTGCATGGGATATGTAGCACATCGAAAAGTGTCAGTGGGATAGTCTTTATCCCTGATAACACTCGGGTGCTATTGGGTAAACGTTTTCCTTTAATTACAGAGACTACAAAAACGAAAAACAAAAGTATTGGTAATTTAATAACTCAATGAGCGAAGTTGTTAAACAGCATTGCCGCAAGTAGTAGATTCGATTCTGTCCCAGGAGAAGTATATGCAATTTTGTATGATCCTCGTAAACGCAAAACACCTGTAATAATCTGTTCTTTATATATCTGTGGTAGGGCCGAGCAGCTTCTGCTGTAGCGCGAATGACTAGGTTCTTACGGAGAAATACCACAGCCTCACAAAAGACTGGCGTGAAGTGGAAATATTACACTTTAACGTTTTTTTTAGGGTTCCGTACCTTAAAAAGTGACCTTATATGGATCTCTCTCTTGTCCACGTGTCACCACAGATTTTCTCAGGAGCTTCCCTAACCTAATACCTCAGTATCTGGTAAAAATTTCAACTTGCTGGGTCCTAACGTTCCTGAGAAAATCAGTGGTGATTATTTACCAATTTTATTATGGTGGTATAATGGGTAGGTACGGAACCCTCGGCGTACGAGTTCGACTCGCACTTGACTAAAATATAAAGGTACCTTATATTCGCATGAAAACGAGAAATCAACACTTAATATTTGATGCCAACTTTGCATATAAATAACATTGTTTGGTAGAAAGTTAATACAACAATGTAAATTGTTTCATTTCTTAATAAAATCAACATATAAAAAGCAATGTACTTTAGAGATAACGTTTTAAAACATGATCTGTGTTGCAAAATTGGCGCTCGCGAACCCTACTCCGATTATACAGCCACTGACCGTAGATAAGACATATATACACCCACTGACCTTCAGAACCGGCGCCTTGGTTTCCATGCTCCGGGCCGTGCGTGTGCGTGTGTGAATGCGAGTGCGAGTGCGTGTGTCTTCCCGCCAAGACGGACACGACGAGCAAGCAAACTAACAAACATTCGCGTCCGTACATCGCGACGCTGTGCGGAGAAGCGCACTGGGTACTCACCAGCGTTCGCTACTTATATAAAGTGTCGTGCTGCGCATTTCTGCAAATTTTCCCGAAGACGAGGATAAATATTGTAAAAATAAAGCACCTTTAAGTGACACGAGCGTCATCGAAATCATTCGACGTTTAATCCAACGCGAACAATGAATGGGATTCATCTTTTAGGTGCTAACTGTACTGCTATTCACTATAGCACAATGAAGAAGTAGAATTATTTAGTCCCGACGTAGGAGTAAACCAATTTCTTATGAACTATCACCCTTAAACTGAGATTTGCAATAGATTCTGCTTAATAATATGCTTAGCTCTGTGTGAATTGATTAACTTTTGAACAAAATTATCTGAAACCCGATAATAATAATTAACCTGTAACTATAAAAAAATAGCTATTAATAAGTAATTGGAATAAACAGAACGTGCTTCTTAAATTGTAATGTTGTTATCGTAAAAGTTAATGTAAATTATTAAAAAAAAATGCAGTAAAGTATACGAAGTGCAAGTTTATTTTATCGTGACTTTCCAATGCCCGCAAATCTTTTACTTTTTATCATTCGTTGCTTGAACTTTATATCTAATGTGCACTGTCAAAATATAGTAAGTTAATTGCAATTTGAATAAATGCAAATAAATTATTATAATGCGTATGTCATTTTACATGTAATACTCATATAATTTGATAGATCTTATTTCAAATCATTTAATTCTGAAATACAAGTCACGGAAAATTGTTTCATTCGGTTAATCCAGCTGCCTTACTCGATTCGGATTTGTTTTTGATTCGAACTCACTCTTGATTCGAACTCGAAAGCTAGAGTAGAAAGAAAAGCTTAGGTACTCCTGAACTGTAAAATGTTTCATTCTTTCTTCAGTCACTTTGCATGATGTGAATAAATAAAGAGAATTAACAATTAACATAGATGCTATTGGTGGATGACTCACTCGTACAAAGTCTTTCGTAAATAAAACAATTTTACTGATATTATAGCGTTACATTTCCTTTCAATTCTAGAATATGTAATACACTGAAGTAGGTAAAACTCGTAAAACAGCTTTATTTAAAAAATGTAGTAAATAAATACAAGAACTTTTTATAAACAGTCTTTATTTAAAAATAAACAAATATCAGTTACCGTATAGTATTGTGGCAAAAAGATGAAATAAGATATTACAAAACAAATTATCTCGAACGTGATATGAACTATCGCTATTGAAATACAAATGAACGAGGAAAATATATCTGTGCGTCGGGAAAACCTGCTTCCTTCAACCCGCGCGTCTCTGCCACTTAAAGGAGACCGCCCTGTCTCGTAGGTTAACAAGACACGTCATCACTTCATCAATATAAAAGAGATCTCTTATCTGCCAGTGATTATATAGTTTTAAATTTGTTTTCGTGGTTAAAGATCGCCCTAATAAATCTTATTTAGGGCTTTCTCGAAATAAAATCATTTAATTGTCAAGTAAACAAAGATACGAGAACTACGACGGCCTCATCTGAAAACTACGTGAAGTAAAAACGATAACTTTTAGTGTTTGGCAACAAATACTTTGCCAAATATGTTGCCATTCCTTTATATAAAAGTTTAAGTTTAATTGTTACGAATGCATTATTTATATTCGGTTGTGAGCACAATCATTCAGCAAACTATGTCCAGTATTTGTCTGTAATACACCTCGCTATGCAAATATCCACAGCTGAACCAAGGTAACCGATATAGCTCAGAGGATTGGTAAGCTGTAGCTCGTAGAACCGATAACTGATGGGGAAGAAAGTGAGCATGAGCACATGCGCTGCCCTACCCACAGCGGAGGGGCCAAACCCAGCAATGCACTTTAGAGATAACTCAGATGAAGCTTTAATAGTCTCGGGACTGAAAGCACAAACATCAGATAATACGGGAAGAAAGATCCTTGAGTGGCAGCCTCGTATTGGCCATCGCAGGACGTCCTCTTAGTAAGAGTGACAACCTATGCAAGTATGCAACAATTCGATGTAAGTAAGTATCTCAGAATCGTGTTTTGTGGTAATCTCTTAGGAAGGACTGTACAACAGTGGACTCTAACAGGCCGAATGATGATGTAACTCTATTAATCATCAATACGTTGTTTCTTTGTTACACACTTTTCTGTGATTCAGCCATTGCTCACAATAACTAAAAACCTATGAGTTCCCGTCACCGCTGTCAGATAACAGTAGTGACCACAAGCCATGGACGAGCGTGCAAGTTCTTACATTGAAGAAAATAATTTCAAGATCTCAGCCAGTGCTTTATGATTGAAACATTGCTCAAGTCATAGGCTCAGCACAATTGGAATAAATTCTTGGTTCAATTGTATTTTTGTTAGATAACATCGTCCATTTAATGCTATACTAACAAAATGTTGGAGTCTAGTTGGTTCGTCTTAAAATTCCATTTCGATCGCACCATAACATTTTTCATAACTGTTAATTCTCACTGGATCTTCTAGTTTCGACACCAAAATTATTTGAGATACCTTGAAAGCTTAAATTTTCTTATACACTTAGGCGTGCATAATTATTACGAACACCTTTTATGATTAACAGACAAAGTCGGGTAGTATATTTGAAATATTGATTATCGGTTGTCTGAATGGGTATAGTTTAGAGTTCTAAGTAGAGATCGATAATTATTCCGGTAAACTTATACGAAACAAGAAGTGAGTACTCTTTATCATTTACCTACTAGCGGACCCGACAGACGTCCTATACAGACGACTTAAATCCGACAACTTATAAATAAAAAAATATATAGTGGACCGAATTGTCAGTCTAAACCATTCTCGTATCAACCTAAGTCACACAAAAATTTTACAGGTAAATTTTTTTGCTCCAGCCGTTTAGGAGGAGTTTAGTGAGACACACGTACAGAAGAATTATATATATAAAGAATAGCCACCCACCCCGGCTTCGCGCGGATGCAATGTGTTATACATGTAAACCTTCCTCTTGAATCACTCTTAAAAAAAAACCATATCAAAATCCGTTGCGTAGTTTTAAATATCTAAGCATACATAGGGACAGACAGAAAGTGGGACGACTTTGTTTTGAGTATACTATGTAGTGCATTTTATATTGTAGCAATTGTAAGGAGATTCTTAAATCTAAATAAACCATTCCAGTCTCATCATTCACACAAGTATTGTGCACTATGGAGATTAACCCTTTGCATTCTTCAAAGAGATGATCAAGATGCATTTGGTTTTATTTATTAAGCGTCTTACAGGAAACCGTCCGACGTGTACAGATTATTAATTTTGATGAGGTAACCAACAATTTATTCGAGCGTTAATATCGACTATGTAGTTGAATGCAGTTTTAATATAACAACAGACCTTTTTTTTTAAACGAGACGTTTGGTTGATATAATTATTAACAAAAACAGTAATCTTTAAAATGTTTCTAAAGAATGTTACAAATCTGATGTTTTACAAAAATTAGAAATGGTGTGTTCTTAATTTAAATATCAGCAGCTTCTGCAATAATATTTAACATGTTTAACGCGGCTTTTGTCTTAAAATTTTAATATTACTTGTATACCAGCGACATCGTTCCACGCAAAATTAACTAGCTTAAAGATTTCTTCTTATTGTATCCCATCTGATGTTTAACAATTTGCTGAAGAGAACAGCATAAGCTATCATCTAAAATGAATCCACAATTTGTCAGGTTTAAAGCATTACCTACACATTCGTAGGGTGTACAACTGTACAATTTATGTACATACGTTTCCAACTCCAGGAAGTTGGGAATGAGACGGTTTATGAATTGACTGGTTTTACCGAACTACTGGTCTAGGTAGGTTATGATTTATTATTGTTGGCCAATTGGCTATGTGGTCATTTCGCCATCTATTGCAAGACGCGTTGTAGTTTAGATGTATCAGAAGCTCTGTTACAAATAGCGGTTTAGAGTTTGCGTGAACTTTGGGTTTTCGTATTTGTGTACATTTTTTTAAAGGAAAAATCTGTAATTCTTAAATAAACAACGTATTTTTCGTTCCCAATAATACACGTTGCTCAAGTCCGAAATTAAAATTCACAATGATTACTGTGAATTTTCTTGGAAGTAGGTACCTTCATACCACATGGAAAACAACCGATTTCTGAATTGTATGTACCGTAATGTAGGTATTTTGCAAAGTTGTCATTACTTAGAGCTAGACAGTATAATAAGGATATTATTTTTTTATATATAACTGTATCTACTACAATACTTCTATCTTTACAACTATAATCTCTGCACTTAAGTTTATAAAAATTTTAGGTTTCATATTTTTCGGCAATATGTTATCTTTAATGTTCACAGGTAAGTTCATTAAAACCACTTAGGTATTAACTATTGTAAATAGCTTATCTACATCTATTTTCCTCTGTATAAAATTTATTTCTTGTCCTGTATATAAATTTCGAAAAAGTAAATTAAAAAGGTCAATTTAATGTAGTAGGTAAATAAAAGACTGGCTAATATTGCTTTATTAGTACACAAGTTTCATGTACACTATTTTATTATTACACATGGAGTTGTGACAATCCAAATTGTTATGGTGGTTGGTATCTCAACAAAGGTTTAGCATTAAAGTTCCCAGAGATGATCCCGGAGGCTGAAGCGCTGCTGGAACAGGATCTAGCTAACGGAGAGGTCCAGGGTCAAGGTCAGGGTCAGAATCAGAGTCATGGTCAGTGTCAGGTACGGACGGCTGGTGAAAGCCAAAAGAGGTCGCTCCCCTCATAGCTCTGTTGGGGTACCTTAACAAAAGGACTACTTATTAAATTACAATCATACTTTCCTGTAACGGGCAAGATTTAAAATTGACTACAGCGTACGGTAGTTTTCCTATTATATACTTCAATGGAAAGTTTTAAAAGGTCTTTTTCAAATGAGAAACTATAGTAAGGATAATTGTACCACTAAACTTGATTTGCATTCAACTTGACAAAAGCAAAATAAATAGAATTATAAATACATATTTTTTCATACATTTTTGGTACATAAAATTAACAACTTAAACTAAATCAAAGAATATATAAGTTTATTTTTATTAGTATTTTCATTGTTTAGAGTTTGCTCACTACTTTTGTTATTTTTGTTTTGGCTTAATCAAAACCTTAAAATAATTAATACAACTTTGATTATCCCATTCATTATGATATGTACTCTTAATTATTATTAATTTTTTTCTTATGTGAAAATTTGCCAAGCACGCAGGCGGTTCACCTGATGTTAAGCGAATACCCCCGCCCATGGATATCTGCTACACCCGAGGGTTGTAGAGATGCGTTGACAACCTTTTCAAAATTGGGCGCTGGCCACCTTACTCACGTCGGTCTTCTGTGAGGTCGTGGTACTTACCCGGACGAGCCCGCCCATCTTAATATATAAAATTCTCGTGTCACAGTTTTCGTTGCCATACTCCTCCGAAACGGCTTGACCGATTTTGATGAAATTTTTTGTGCTTATCCGGTATCTATGAGAATCGGCCAACATCTTTTTTTCATCCCCCTAAATGTTAGGGGTTAGTCCACCCCTAATTTTTTTTTTTATTTTTAAGACAAAATTTTTAATTTCTATTTTTTTATGATACAGCATACAAAAATACATACAAGCCTAAATTTTCACCCCTCCACGCAGACGTTGTCGCGGGCAGCAGCTAGTTAATATATATGTACAAAAGTAAATTTCATGGAATTAAATCTATTCACTTTGAAACGAAATTCGGAAACGGAAACTGGCTAATTTAGGAAGTCGGCACTCGCCGTTATAAATTGAAGAATATTATAAAAGGCTAATAAGATGACTTCTTGGCGCAGATGTCAAGGTGTTGGCTTCGGCGTCGGGATCTTGAGTTCGACTGTTGCACGAGACAACTACTGCGACCCATAGACAATTGTTCTGGATCTGGGTGTTTGCCTACCTGATATTTTTGTACTTAAAACAAACTTACAAAAGAATAATGTTATCCTTCAGTAATTAAAATTCAAAATATCTTTATTAAAATAGACGCTTGCGCGTTCTTATAAAACGTGGAATTTTTACATAAACAAAGGTTATAATTGTAAAGCCAGATTTAGCTTTTTCTGAAAAATAAATTTCTGAAAATACGTAAATTAAAAATAAATGACTTCTTGCCATTTATTTTTAATTTACGTAGAAAGGCAAGAAAAGGCAAGAAAATCTACCTTATTTTTAAGAAAAATATTATCTAACCATCAGGTTTCAGAGAGAGTAATAGCAGTTCACCAGACCAGCTGCTTCCAGGACACCCTCAAGCAATCCAGGGTAGCCAAGAGTTGGCAGTGGGGCAGCCGGTCACCAGTGTCCAGGCAACTCCTCGACCTGGAGGACGGGCGATAGAACAGCCCTGGAAACACATTAATTCAAAATTTATCTCATTGTTTAAACTATATAGCAAGCCAATATATATCCATCTCAAAGAGGATGGGTAAAACACTTTGATATTTGTACAAACATACACCTCTCGTACATAAAGATAGGAATTGCAAATTCATATCAGACTGAATTGTAACATTTGCACATGATAAGTCAGCACTTAAAATTAAAATTTCATTGGTGCTGGCGCCAGGGATCGAACTCAGGTTGCTCGAGTACATTGAATTAAAAAATGAAGCTATCACAGCTAAGCCTTGTACAACGCGAGCCTAACAGGCTGTTATTTAGAACGGCCGTGAAGCGAGCCGATGAATAATAATAATAATAAACTTTATCGATAAAATTACAGCCATGAATCTTAAACTCCCCGAATCCTGAACTAGGAATTAAACCAGTATCTCAGGAAACAGTTCCCTTCCAATTTGATACACATAAATATTAACAATAAAGTTATTGCAAATTACATATTACAATTGTTCACTCCGAATCCAGTCAGCGCTAGGGACGCGCCCGAACGCTCCGTCGCAAGAACCACAGATTGGTTTCGAACAACAACTGTTTAGTCGTCCGCGCCAACGCAGTGTGCGTGCGTGCGCGTTTGCGTGTGTGAGTGTGTGTGAATGGTGGTACTAGGAGTACAAGAAAGTTCTCCATGTCGCCCTCACCTGGACACGGGCGAGAGTAGAAGCAGAGCCACGCCGATAGCACTGCGGCGTATCCGCCAGGGTCCCCGCCGATTGAGGGGATGTTTCGTTGAACCCTAATCGGCGCTGCCACCTGGTCTCTCATTCCGTACTCTGGCATCTTGAAAATTACAATTTTATTTTAAAATCAAAGTCACAAACGCACAAGCATACCTGACCTATAGACCGTTTGTGACCACATCCCATTGTGTGGTATACAATAGGTGTCCAGTGACCATATTTAACTTGAAACATGTGGACACATGTCCACATGTTTTCATATGCTTTTCTCTACGATTTGTATATCATCAGACAAAACACTCAATTATAAATCTTTTGTGGTTACAGATTTAGCACGATCCTAGCCATTATTATCACCTAATCCACGTCTATACATAAACGCATGTGTGTTGGTATATTTATTGCCTACTGCAGATTATGTGAAACGATGGCAAACAAGCGGTCACCTGATGATAATGTTAACCGCTGCCCAATGACATTCGCAACACCCGAAGGGTTGCCGATTCGTTGCCACCTTTTAATAAAATATATCGTCAATATAAACTTTAATTATCACTTTGTTGTGAGCATATCTACATGCTCGTCATTGAGGCGGCGACAGTCCTAATTGACTTCGTAACTGATAGATTGGGTCAGCTGTGTTGAAATATCATCTTCTAATATACAAAATTCTCGTGTCACGGGGTTCGAACTTGAACTCCTCCGAAACGGCTCGACCGATTTTTGTGATCCTTACCGTGATTGTCGGCCAGGGTGGAGAATCGGCCAACATCTATTTTTCATCCCCCTAAATGTTAAGGGTAGTCCACCCCTAAATTATTTTTTTATTTTTTAGGCAAAATTTTTTGTTTTTATTTTTTTATGACACAGCATACAAAAATACGTACAACCCTAAATTTTCACCCCTCTACGCAGACGTAGTCGCGGGCAGCAGCTAGTAAGACTACAATATTATTAACATACTACAAGCGACTGCTCTTTGGTATGTACCTGAATGTTGACTCCAGTGTTGCGAATGTCCGGTACACGTTCCACAAAAGCTCTTTAGTACCGAATACTTCGGTACGCTTCGAACCGACGACCTCTTAGGGATGCCATTTATGAACCGCTAATGCTGCCCGACTTTAGCCATTGCTGGTTGGAGCTCAGTGTTTTGCTGTATAAGATAAGAACGATGATGTAATTATTTTTTTATACTCGCATAACATATCAGCTATTTATTTATTTAGTGGTTTTATATTCATAGTTAAAATATTTTTTAGGGTTAGTTATTGCTTTTTAGTTTCAAGCTCTCGTGAACGTCAAAAAATACACTTTCCAAGGGGGATTTGGAAAATTGGATAGAAAATTGAAATTTTAAAAATCATTAAAAGTTTACATTAAAGGATATTTTACAAACACAAATTCCACCCAGATACGATTACATGTGGATTACACAAATACTTGTCCCGTGTGGGAAACGAACCCACAACTCCCGGCGCCGAAGCCAATAGCTGGCAACTGCGCCACGGATACAGTGTCCTGAAATATTTATTCTCCATGGGTCCTACTAAAGATTGGCAAACGCATTTGCAACACCTTAGGTGTTGTAGCTGCCATTGCCCATGGGCAACGATAATCACTTAAAATCAGGTGCACTGCCCTCTGGCCTGTCAGCTATTCACAATATAGAAAAAAAAAATTTCAAATAATAATAGAGTCTATGAATCTCAACATTTACCTTTAATAACACAAGTCGTAATGTTGACACCCATTGCTCTTAACCAGCCTTTACAGAGCTTTTATGATCAATTCTCTTGACGACTATGTTCCGCTCCAGGGCTATCACTCGATAACCTATTTTTTTTTCTAATAGGTTGAAACCCTAACATAGTTCAGTTTATAGACAACGGAATTTAATAAATTTAAACCAAAATATACATTGCTTTCAAGAATAGCTTCTGTGGCTGATGAGGGCTGTCCTTAGTAGTATATTTTGTAGTTTGTATCATGTCTCTAGTCACTGGTTGTTTGAGCCAAATTGAAATTTCCTGGCTCCATGTATCACGTATAGCTTGCAAAGGACAATCGCCAGGTGAAATAGGGATTTCTCTTGGATTTGGTTGTTTAATTTCAATCATTGTGCCGAAGAAAACTGGTCTGCTCTTAACTAGTCAGACAGTGATTGGTGTACAGGTGTTATGTGCAGCTAAACGCAGATATATCTATAATCTTCGGATATTATTTCTCAAAGTTGTTTTGTCGGTTTACTTCCACAATTTTTCATCAAATTTAATGATTTGAACAACACATTAAACAAGCATGTTTGCAAAAATTAGGCAAGTAGAATAAAGTAACTTTTTATTAAAAATCTAGAGACAATTTGCTTAAATGAAAGATAATGAAAGTAAACATAAAACCATTATTCTTTTTACCATTATTTTGTCAGTGAAAACATGTTTACAAATAAATAGCCTAGAGCATTTTTTTATAATTTAAATAACCACTGGTATTATAATAGCTTTCAACACACAAACATTGCTTTAAATTTTTTATTGTAATAATTACTTTAAAAAACTTTTAAGTTAAACGGTTTTATTTTATGTTTTTTTTTTGTTAAATTTTTTTTCGTTAATATTGTATTGTCATCTAAATTAAATGTGTGTACCAAATTTCAGATCAATCTGACAACGGCAAGGTGCTTAAATTTCAATTTCTAATTTTGACCCAAATAAATAAACAAACAAATTCCATATGGGTCGAGCTAAATAAAACCGTTTAAAAATTAATTTATGTGCGACAATGTATTTTACATTGTCGCACATACTTATTGTACGCAGTATAGTTATTATATTAATATAGTTATTATATTATGTGTAGAAATAATTTATGATTGTTCCTAGTATTATCATGCACATGACTATATTTCAAAAGTTATTATTTCTATGGACATATATAACATTTTCGAGTATGTACTGGGAAGCAATGGTTTTATCTCTTTAAAAAAAAAATTCTTAGCCATTCTTTGGGGCCCAGGGTATAAATTGCTCAAATAGCTCTTTTTTCAAAGATAAAGATTGTATTGGCAGCAACTTTTCCCTAAAATAGAATGCAATAATAAGACAGAAATAGCTAAAACACACCAAGTAGTCAATTGTTTTATTTTTCTAACAGTGAAGGCTGCTGAGCTAAGTCTATTCACCAGTTTATATATATATAATGAATTTGGGGGCCCCCTGTTACAATTTTTCATCTATAGTTGTGCCAAGGTGTCAATAGGCTCTAGCCTAGTTATCCATATAAAAGTACATTAGTTTTTACATGTTTCACATTAGGGGTTGTAAATTTAATCAATTTTGATTTTTTTATTATTACACATTAAGTTGTTAGAAGCAAACAATACTATATCATGATTAATGTTAATGGTTATATATAACATAATTATTAGAATATAACTTTATATTAACAAAAATTTAATTTTTATTATTAAATGCATTATAAACCATGCCAAAACCATAGCTTGCATCCCACATCCACATATTCAAAATTTTCAGTTAATTCCAGGTCATGAGAATGAAATTAAGAGAGCTATGTAGGTAATCAAATCTATGGCTGTTGGTTGTAACAATTTAAGTAAAATAAAGCATGGCCTGTGTAATTATTAACCAAGTTAATTGTAATAAAAGATAAACAAAAGTAAAGTAACAGCCTATATACATGCCCCTAAATTTGGGCAAAGGCCTCGTCTTTGTACCAGGGTAAGCCCCCTGTTTTAGGGCATAGTCATTACCCCACTATTGTTTGGGCAACTTTGCATATCTTCGAAAAATTTTTTTGTTATTATATATGCAGGTTTTCTAACTATGTTTTCCTTCACTGAGTATGTGATAAGTGAGTACTTAAATTAACAATTTAATCGGTGCCGGCACTGTGATTTGAACTCAAGTTGGTCAAGTATATTGAATTAATAACATGAAACTGAGCTATCACAGCACAAAAAAGATCAATAAAATAAATAAATGTATAAAGGTTGACAATGCATCTGCAACTCTCGGGTGTCCATGGGCGGCGGTATTCACTTAACATCAGGTGAACCGTCTGCTCGTTTGACAACTTTTCACATAAAAAAAATACACTTTCATATTGCCTCCAAATGTATGTGAAAGCCTTAAAGAAGTAAAAACCGTTTTTTTTGTTATTGTATGCTTATAGCTTTGTCAGCTTCATCAGAAAAGGTCCTCAAGGACTCAGAAGGACAATGTAACTGGTTCACAATGAGGATGTGATGACGGTGTATGCTCCATTTTTAATGTAATCAGTGATCAAAGGGATGCAGACTCGCTACCAAATAACAATAACAAACAATAATATAATAAATACTGTGGTAGGCCTAAGTGTTCGCTGTTGCTTGAATGGGCAGGTCTTTCCGGGTAAGTATCACGACCTCACAGAAGACCGGCGTAATTGTTTTTTGGGCTGGATTTGCCACTGTCGGCCTTAGGGGCTTTTACAGATCCGCCAGACTTGACGTGGCCGGGCGCTTGAGGCGCCTAGCCTGAAAAATATTATTATCATTAGCAGTTTGAGAGGCCACCAAGCTCTTAGGGCGCTTTGGTGTCCATGGAGCCTAAGGAGCTCAAGGGTCCCTGAGAGGGGACCTCTGCTTGGGCTGTCACTCAATACCTGTTTAGCATTCCGATTCGAGGGTGCCCGAGAGGGCCGGGCCTCACCTAGTTCTGTAGCTATTGTCTGACTGGGACCAGCGTGAAGTGGAAGTGTTTTAATTTTACCTATCTTCTAATTAGCGAGTGAGGTAGCCAGGGCCGACTTTATTAAAAGATGGCAACACATCTGCAACCCTACGGGTGTTGCAAATGTTCATGGGCGGCGGTGATCACTACCATCGTGTGAACCACCCTCTCGCTTGCCACATTCTCACATAAAAAAGCCCCTTGCAACTGACCAGATTTTCTCCTAATCTACCGCATCATTCCGACCCTTTAGATAAAACGAATCTCAATAATGCCTCTCGCTCTCGCTCGGTCAAGGTCGGTTAATATCACATAGTTGATTCAACGGTTCGTTTGTGAGAGTACTCGGAATCTATCAAGTATACCCTCTGTGCATCAGAGCTGGCTGATGACCGATGACAATGACGAAGCAGTGCGCGTGTTAAATGTGTTAGTTAATTCGTGCAACAGAACATGAACTGTTGTGTTAGCTACACACACAACAGTTCATGTTCTGTTGCACGAATGGGCAGGCTCGTCCGGGAAAGTAACACGACCTCACAGAACATCCGCGTGAGATGGCAGCGCTATAGTTCTGCGTCTCGTCTGGTAAGCGAGGTGACCGGGGCACAATTTATTAAAAGGTAACGCTACTACGCGTATGGGTGGCGGGACGGAAGCTTCACCAAATAAATAAGAAAACGATGAAAGCTACTGGAGCTCAACGTAGCAATGTTTTTATACGAATTTATAATGCTGTTGCACAATTCGAGGTTTTCTCGAACGATCTTTAGCGGACTGCTGTGCGTCTCGATCATGTCAAACAATGGTCGCAATTTTTCATACACATGCCACACCTCATGGTCGTCCTGTAGCGACTGCTCGGGGTCGTAGGGAGGGCGCGGGTTGGTGGGGGCGGGGCGGCGGCTGCGCGGCGCCTTCGGGCAGCCGCGGTAGCTGGCCGAGTGGCCCTGCGCGCCGCACAGCACGCAGCTGGCCGGCTCGGAGCGCGGGCGGGGGCAATCTGCGCTCGAATGGTCGCCGGCGCAGCGCACGCAGCGCGGCCCGCCGCGGCAGCCGCGCGCCGCGTGCCCGTACCGCTGGCAGCGGTGGCACTGCGTCGGCGCCATGCGCACGCGCGCCGCCTCCACCGCGATGTCGGACCGCTCGCACACCGTGCCGACGTCGAATATCCTCCTGCCCTCCGAGGAGAGCGGCAGCTGGCACAGGACCATGTCGCACGGTTTCTTCGTTCTAGGGTTGTGCATGCGATGCACGTGCAGGACGGGCAGGCCCCGCATAATCAGGTCCACCTTGACGTGCACCGCGTCGAGCTCTACGGGGACGCGCTTGATGACCACGCGCAGGACGCGCTCGCGCACTTGCGGGTACGTGTGAAACGGGACGTCGTTTTCCGTGAGCCACTCGGTGAATGCGCGGTGGTCGTCGATCGTTTTTAGAGACACCTTTATTCCGGTAGAAATGCATCTGCCCTCGAGGCGGTTGAGCTTCCCTTCTTTGACGAGATCTACGATTGTGACCCACTTCGCTGCGTCGTGCAGTATTACAGGCTTGGGGCGTTTAGAAGCCTGAGGGGCGGGGGGAGTGGGAGCGACGGCCGAAATTTCTACCCGCTTCGACCGTTTCCTGCGCTTTTTCTTCGGCACTACACTCGGGCCCGGCGTGGAATTATCGAGCAAGGGTGGCACTGACGGGGATGAGGCCATCCTGACGGCTTCTAAAATGTCGTGCCGAGGAAATTTTGCAGAGGCGGCTATCAGAAACTGCACAAAGTCCGCAAGCTTTTCCACGATGGACATGGAACCGGTGAGTAGCTCAAGGCTTTTTCCACGGAAACACGTGTTGCACACGAAACAAACTATGAATGAATGAGCACTTACAATTTAACACTTACCGAATCAGCAGAATAAGGATCGCCAGAACTAACCAAACACTATATTTTAATTACGCGCGGATTCGGGTACTTAACGGTCGTGCCACGGGGGCTCCAGGGGCCCCAGGGACGTAACGGTCGTCAAACAGATTCGCGCCAAGAAACGCTCAAAGGCGACCAAAATATCTCAGAAAGCAGAGTACACTACGTATAGAACGAAGTATAGCTATAAGAAACAATAAGACGTTAACAATAATTGAAATTGCTATATCGTGCGATTGTAAAGGCTCATAGAAAATCAGATATCCATTCAGCCCAACAATTAAATTTAAAATGGACAGACTGACGGCAGTGTTACCAACTCTCAAAAATATTTTTCCTTACTCCCTAAAGTTTAAGTTAAAAAAAACCCTAAAATCCTCCTAACAAAATAATATTATTAAAAAAAGTATAAAAAGTAAGTTGCCCAAAGATTTGTGCCTTAATTTCCACATAAATCATGCAGTGAAGTAAATTGCAGTGAAAATGTTGGTCTTATAATAAGGGTTTAAAGAAAAATTGAAGTAAAATTAATTTTATAAAAAAAAGTCTTTTATAATTTGTTTAGGTGACCTATATTTCTCCGTAATTTTAAAAATGAGATTCATAATAAATGATATAATAGACGTCGCTAAGAGGCTAGGTTAACAAATGAATATGTTTGGGTTGCATTACTCCAGGCCTTTTATTTTATACCCTTATAAGTAAAAAGTAGGGAAAAGCGTAAGAAGTTTTACTTCTTAATCCCTAACATTATATTGCCCCTAAAAACGTTTTGTTTACCCCCTAAATTTGGGGGGAAAGCCCCTAAGTTGGCAATCCTGACGGTGATTGGGGGACGGGGCGGAAATAGGAATAAAATTAGGCATGGGGCATGGGCAAAAAATATCGATATTTTACCATATAATATATAGTCGATATTTTAAATCGCGATATATTTTTTAACGCAACTCTGGTTTCGTAATTAATATATTCGTAATAGGTTAGGTTAGGTAAAATACCGCTTCGATCTTTATGAAGTGCAATATAACAGTAAGAATATTGCCAGCGTACACGAAAATACTAATACTATTAAACTATCAGTGTGATACGTGTATGACGCCGAAGTTACAGACAATTTACAATTTTCAAATTTTTTTCAACCAATCAACAATTTTCTTCGTGGATATTCTTCTTTACCAATTTTGAATGGTTTGAGAATATGTATGAAAAATCATGCGAAAATTGACAAAATATCGTTATATCGATATTTTTCACTTTGATCACTCGATAATTATGGATACTGTTTAAAAATGTCGATGCGATATATATCGATACATTTTTCCATTGTCTTTTTAACCTAAATGAATGATAATAAAATTCATATCGCTCCTAAAGACGTACCATTAAGGCAGAAACACACTACTGTGTAACGGCATTGGCATGTCCACAGAACTTTTACTCAAAGAGGGCATGTCGTGAGGCTTTCTGTCTTTCATTAATGTTTCATGACCGTAGGTGTATTTATTAGTTATAAACTTTCGTGTCTGGAATGCGTGTCTACATTTTATCTCATTTATTTATATAAACTTATATAATAAATATAAAAAAAAATATCTTTCGCCTTATTGCACGTTTGTAGAAATAACGACACTAACAATAGAAATAAATGAAACCGTTTAAAAACTTTTAAGTTCAACGGTTTTACTTTGTTTTTTTTTGTTAATTTTTTTTGTTATTATTGTATTGTCATCTAAATTAAATGTGTGTACCAAATTTCAGATCAATCTGACAACGGGAAGGTGCTTCAATTTCAATTTCTAATTTTGACCCAAATAAATAAACAAATTCCGTACGTGTCGAGCTAAATAAAACCGTTTAAAAGGTATTTAATACCTACATTAAAAGTTTTATTATAACGCATTATCTAGTTAAATAAAAATTTATTTAAAAATCACAAAATAAATATCGGGAATACAGTTGTCAGTTATAAATATCGTGAATCAGTTGTCAGTTCTCACGCAAGCATACGCAGATGTCTACCTAACTTCAGGTTGTCGGTTTTTCGAGAGGGTGTGCGAGCGCATCGTAAAAATTTACTCTTATCTTTTTTCTCTAACGCGCCAAAAGAAGTATAACTTCAAAAATGCTTAGTTGTTTGTAAACAGTTTTTATTTGAAAAAGTGGCCCTCCAACTTTAATATGTATAGACCCTAAACTTTAGGCTAAAGACAAGGTACATTCTGACAAGGTTTTATCTGTGCCGCAGTGTTCTCACCGCCCCCCAGTCCAGTCTACGATTCATACAGTCAACAGCCATCGGGTCTTGGTCCGTACGAACCTCACAAGCACGTCGACATTCCTCCCCATTAGTTCACATACATACCCCAGAGGATATGCGTGGCCATACTCAATTTGGAGGGCTATATAAAACTCGTGGGTCCTGGCTATCTCACGAGCTCTGCGTCCGATGAAACTTTAATAGTTTACGGACAGTTATCAAAAACACCATTCGAATAAAAATACGTAATTACATACTCGAATTCGACACTCGTTCACAAAATTTATTTATTTATACTTTACACAAACTGTACAGAGGCGGACTTAATGCCAAAGGTATTATCTTCCAGTCAACCTTGGGGTGGTACAGAGAAGATTCAATGTGATATTTTCTTTAATGATTAAATGTGATAAAAATGTAATATGTTGGAATAACGTACGGGGGTAAAAACTTACTTTTTTAATTCTTAAATGAATGAAAGTGTTAATAAGTAAGTATACAACAAAACACTAGTTTAAATGCAAAAGACCTACTTACCTATATTTTATTTCGAAATTTTAAAGTAATAAACAATAATTTTGATATTCATTTTTGTTATATAAAAAATAGGTAATGAAATTTTTTAAAATGTTATAGAATTTAAATCATCATCAATCAGATATATTAATTACCCGAAGCGTTTCTGAACCGTTGAGAACCTTTAAAAATGTGGGCCCCGATCAATACTTTGATTATACACTTATCTTGTCTTAACAAGTATATAATTAAAAATTATTGTAGGATATTATTATTTTGTGAAATATTAATTATTAATGATTAAGCCGACAGTGTTAGCGTAAGAGGGTTAGTAGGCTAGTACAGCTACAGTCGCAACCGAACATGGCAAGCGTTGGACTGCTATAACAGCTGTAGAGCAGTGCTTTCGCGCCAACATGCTCTATTCTATGGATGGCCGCGAAACGGGACCCAAGCCAAAACGAACGTTAGGTAACTCACAGAGCTGTATTTCATTGCTGCACGTAATATACAGAAAACTAAACATTTTTCTTCTTTCTTTTTTTATTAAAAACTCTCACTCTCTATCAACATCGTGAGGAAACATGCATATTTTCGAAAAAGTAATAACGAAAAAACTTCATAAATATGTGGAGACCGCCAATCCGCAGTGGGGTCGCTTGGTGGACTATGCCCTAATACCCTCTGTGCAATGGTGGCCTCTACCCAGTTGTGGGACATTTATAGGATGTTACTTTACTAGACTTCTTTTGGCGCATTAGAAAAATTAATATTAGAGTAAAATTTTTGAGATGCGCGCGCACAGCACACATTCCCCCAAAAATCGACGTGGTTGGTTGCCATGGTAATACTGTGATTTTAACATTTACCAAGATTTCCAAGTTATTTAAATAAACCGTTATCAATTGCGTTTAATTGCGCTAAAAAGTATAACTTCTGACGTGCGTACATAAGTACATACATCCTTTGTTCTAGCATATTTCCTTGTTTTATATGCATGTTTTCAATCAAAATCAAAAATATAATTATTCACATAGACGCTTGCGCGTTTTTATGAAATGTCAAAATTTTACATAAAACATTTTTACATAAATTTTATTCTTTTTACTGTTTTTTCTTTCTTTTCTTTTTTAACTTTTTCATTCAGTTACCTTTAAATGACCAAAATTTAATTCCCCGACTTAATGCCTTTGTTCATAATCTACCTGCCAATCGGGCGTGGCGAAAGTGTTTGAAAGGCTATATAACTAAAATGTATTTTATGAAGAGAAAAGGAAAATAGTCATATTATAAATAATAGAAATTTAGATAAAGAAATAAATAAGCTTACGCGCGAGCAGTCAATTTATTCCATACATTCAACTGGCCAAATCGTTTTTTTTTACTAGTGGAATGTATTAAAAATATTTATTTATTTAATATTTACAAGATTAAATCTATCTAAAATTACATAATATCTAATAAACCTAATCCACGCGGCATGGTGCCAAGAATGCTAGCTGCATTTACTTGCTGAATAGTTATGCTTAACTTTTGAGCGAGAAAAGAACAAGCTCTCTTGTCACCGCTGCGCTAAGACTAGGACATAAACTAAAACTAAAGTTTCAACAGCAAATGGCACAAATACAAAGGTAAAGGTAAAATACAAAGCTAAAATATGTAGGTTTCATTACGTTGTTTTTTACCGCAGAGAACGGTGTCAGCACTTAAATTTAACGATTTCGATTGGTGTCGGCACTGGGATTTGCAAACAATTTGCTCGAGTATATTGAATTAAGAGCGAGCTCCTATAGCTATCAATTTATTAGAACCAACATTTTACTTCCACAGCAGAACGCCTTGTTTATTTTTTTATGTGTACTAGGGCTAAGTTGGGATGCATAATGTACAAGGAAACTAAATATGTCCGGCCTATGCTGGGTTCCCGGGTGATCAGGGTTGGACGTCCAGAGTGTACCCAGAGTCGTTATTGAAGGCAGTCGCTGTGAGAACGTCGCTTCTCTCCCTGGTCATCCAGGTTATGCATCACACGCAATCATGTGTGTGAGGGTCTGGGAGCTTCTCCAAATACAACATGGATGTTATAACTCCTCATTAAGTTATCTAATTTG